AATTAAATAATTAATATAGGTAAAGATGGATTATCTGATTTAAATTAATTATTCATAATTTATATTTATACTGATTAACCTTGTAGTGGAGAAGAGAGAGAGGGAGTAATAAAGTAATAAAGAAAGAAAGAAAGAAAGAAAGAAAGAAAGAAAGAAAGAAAGAAAGAAAGAAAGAAAGAAAGAAAGAAAGAAAGAAAGAAAGAAAGAAAGAAAGAAAGAAAGAAAGAAAGAAAGAAAGAAAGAAAGAAAGAAAGAAAGAAAGAAAGAAAGAAAGAAAGAAAGAAAGAAAGAAAGAAAGAAAGAAAGAAAGAAAGAAAGAAAGAAAGAAAGAAAGAAAGAAAGAAAGAAAGAAATTTATCTCGAAAAGACCGTCCCGAAATAAAAATTATTTGTTCGTCTGGCTAGGCCCGTGAGAATTATCAATATAGTTTTACATTTTTGCACTTAACATAATCGAGTTTTTGATCTATCTCATATCTTTAAAATTAGTGTGGTAAACGGCTTTATTTTGGCCTATTTTAAATTAGGATTTTAGCCAAAATAATATTATGCACGCCTCAAAATTTTGTTAATAGATATCTAAACTTTTAATCTCCTTGCTAAATATTTTTTTGGCTAAAATTAGTGTTGTTAAACGGCGCGATTTGAGCCGATTTTTAAAAACGGCTAACTCAATATTTTATCCAGAAAAATATTGCACAAGACTGAAGATTTTGCTCATGGATAGTACAAAGGTTTGGACAGGCATTTATTAGCGAAATCTCGAGGCTTAGACAATATTTGTCTGGCTAAAATATTGGGTTAACCGTATTTAAAAATCTGCCTTTTAACAACACTAGCTAAAATATTGACTTATCCATTTTTAAAAGAGCTGTTTAATCCTAATTCACTATCTTATGTATTAATAACGCTAATACTTAACATGGTTATAAAAGAGCCATAGTTCATTTATTCATTTTTAAGAGAATAATTGGGTTTAAAGTTTTTATAAGAAAATAAATGAAAGATAATTATATAAAATAACGAAATATTTAAAAATGATTAAAATCTAATAAACAATATTACGATTGGCAAAACGAATTTATTTATGTCTTGTACAGGAGTTTTTGCATAGGTGATGGAAAATTGGCATTTTATATCTTGTGTTAAAGGGAGAATTAACACTTTCGGGAACCTAATTTTTCAAATGTTTTTTTTATTATAATCCGTTACCGTGCACTGGTTATCTTCGATTGAATGCAATACTTAACTTCAAATTCATGCAATTTTTTGGGATAATTTAACAAAGTTTGAGTCAACTTTTCAGTTAGAATTATTTCAAAATCATATCGTGAAATTGGATTCATAATATTGTCATTTTACAAGAATTTTCCAGTGTTGTATTACATAAAAGACTCATCCATCTATATGTTTTTCCGTGTTCTCTTAGGGAGCTGGGCTATCTATGACATTCTTGGTCGAAATATAAGATATTTAGGGTAGAAATATATCATAGAACAATTCATATTAAATTATTGAAAATATAAGGACAACTTTATTTGATTTTGTCTAATAACAAGTGAATTTTACATTTATATTCTCCCTTTAGACTTTGTAAAGGATGAGTTAATTCTTAACTATATCTTTGTGAAAAGATGAATGACCAGATCTCTATTAAATATGATTTACATAACTTATTTCAGTAGACAAGGATAAAATGAAAGGCAAAATATCCTAATTTTCAATTTAAATCATTCGCTTTATATCAAATTCCAAAAAAATTTCGTTTCACTAATAAAAAATTGATCATAATCGTCCTCGATAGAATTTCGTTAAAAATATTTTTGAATACATATATATTAAAAATAATTTTAAAAAAAAATTACTATAGTACTAAACATGAGTTTAATGGTAATCGATCAGAATTGTACTGATCAAAATGACAGAGCGCACAATACATTAAGGCAATATTACTCCCTAGAAAAAAGACCCCCGGATAAAAATAACCCCCGGACAAAAACACTCAAATTTTAAGCATTGTAATAATTGGTAAGGAAAAGGGAAAAGTTTTAAAATGTTTAATTCTCCATTAAGAAAATTTAACTAATAATATCACAAAAAGACTATGCCTATATGTGGAGTGGAAATGTTTAGATGTTGGCTAAATCTATTGTTTAATGTTCATAGCAAGACCTGGTGTGGGCTTAGATTAATTTAAACATAAAAGTAGATTATTAGAAATACTTAATTTTATTAGACACTAAACCTACTACATTCAGTAAATCTAAAATATACTTAGGGTTGTTGAGCAGCTCGAAGCAATCAATAAATATCTTTTTTTTCTTCTGATAAATTGGAAATTTCACCTTTACTGTATTTGATGGAAAAATCATAAAAATGAAGATAAATTTCTGAAACCTAGCTCTCGTTATGGCCAATAGGAATTTTATCCTTAATTTGTTTATGAATGAATCTAAATTTACTCTTTATTTGATGATGGATAAATCAGCCTAAATCATAAAAATAAAGAGAAATTTCTGATTTATCTATCATTATATAAAGAAGAAAGAAAAATCTGATTCCTGTGATTATTGTCAGGCAAAATGAAAGACTAACTAACCAAATACTACATAATCTAACGGTTATCTGGTTTCTATCTAGAAGAATATAGACTTTCATTGTTTGATAAAGACGAAGTGAGATAATTGCTATTGATAGCTGCATGTTAGAAATACATGATTCAGATAGATGTAATCTGATTTATAAATTATTTGACCTCTTAATAAATATAGTTTAATCACAAGTGATAAAATATTTATCACTTCAATTGATAACATTTACATTCAACTTTTGAATTTTTGTATCTCGAGTTTTTATACTTAGTCCAGACATCATTGAAATATTATCTAAGAGACAATTCAAATTTTCAAAAATTAAGATGGTAGTACAATTATTTCAATTAATATAATCAAATTTCTTGAATTATATAAATTTTTATATTGTTCTTTAATAAATTTTAAGTATCATTTTCTCTTCACCAAACAATGAATAAATTTATTCCTCTAGTTATAAAACTGAAATTTTGAATTGTAAGGGAAAAAAATGTGATCTCTCAGATAACATATCTTTTATGTCTGGGCAGAACGTAACTAAAGGAACAAGAGAAAAATTTCAAAGGCCGAATTTAAATGTTATAAGTTAAAAGCATAAATATTTTACAACTTTTAATATATAAATAATCCCTAAAAGTCAAATTATTTAGCTAAAATAAAATTAAAATTATCAAAAATATCATCTTATTTCTTATATGCATCTTTTAAATTTACCTCATTTTCTAGATATAAGCATAAAATTATGTATTAAATTTCACTAAAATATATATTATCATTTTTTATTAAATATTTCTTATATTTCTTAATTTCCAAGACAATTTTTTATAAACTGTGATCTACACTTGGGGATAATTTATAAATTTTAATGAGAAGTGTTTGGGATTAATGATCGCCTATCTCAGTATAAATATCTTATTCTTCTAATAAGCTATTAAAAACTTTAATTTCTCTTCTAAATCAAAAAGAACTAAAATATATTTTATCTTTATTATAGATTTAATGAGTGTAAAATAAATAGATAAAAATATATAACTCATAAGAACTCGTTAGAGCATAATAGTAGACAACTGTGGCAAATATATTGTCGTATTTAGTTGAGAGTTCGATTTGACCTTGTGGCTTGTTACATTTTTTTTCTACAAAATGTGACAATTTTTCTGTGACACGGCTTTTATTATATAAAGGATTATATAATATTAATATTATTTTTTATCCGAGATATAAAATGTACATGTCATATTGGGAATATGGAATTTATGGGGATCCAGTATCACTTGATTTTAAATTAGTTACTGAGAGTGATTTTAAAAAATCTGATTTGACCGGATATGTATTTAAGAATTTATACAGTACTCACACTGGGTTGCCACGAACTTAAGATTCAATGTATTGTATGAATACTTCATATAAATCTTAAAAATGCACAATTTTTTATGGCAAAAAATGTAGAAATTTATTGAATAAGTAGGTAATAGTCCATAATAAATTGAGGGAGAATAAAGTATCAAAATAATTTAAACGTTGTTTATTTTAAAATATATTTAGTTATGGTAGTAATTAATATCTAAGATCATACTCATATATATTTTTAAAAAATCTACATTTTTAAAATAAAATTTTTTTTGAGGTATGAAAAATACATGGAGGCGTTTCATTCTTTTGTCGGGCACAAGAAGTTTATCATTTTCTATACATTTCATTCATTTTTTTCATAAAAAATACAACAAATATAATAATAATGAACTTCAGAAGTAAAACTGCCGAAAAACACCATCATAAAAAATGTCTTCGTTAAGAAAATCCTCCTTTTTTATCAAATTTCTATTATTGATCGAATAATATAAAGATAGTAATGTTCAAATCAAATCAAAGTATTCGCTTTTAAATGTCAAGCAATATTATAATTGGCACACCTAAATCAAGATCAGATACCTAAAAGCTTATATTCACCCCATCTTATATTAATGGGCTAGCAGCAATGAAATCAGTTTCTACACGAAGAAACGATGTGCAAGCTCTTTAGCAAAATCTAATTAAAATTTATGCAGAGGATGTTGTAAAAATTGGACCAAATCAGAAAGTAATAAGAAGAACTCTAATAAACATTTTTTACATATATAGAGACTTTAAATGAAGTTATTCATGAACATCCCCTTAATAATTTATATAGAATTATTTTTTTAAATAATCATTTTCTTTAAAGATTACTTCAAATTTTTTTTAAAAAATTATTTTGTTAGAATATGGCATGAAAGATCATGACAAAAATTGACTTTTATAGTTTTCATATCTTACAGATTATGATAGATAATATTTAAACTTTCCATATATATTACAAAATAATCATATGATTTATAAATTTATATATCCATCCATCCATCCATCGAAAATGAAACAAACATATGACTTTTTAAATATTTTTACTTTAAGACACTATATGTCATTAAAACATCTAAACAACCTTATATTAAAGTTAAAGGTAATTATTTAAACGCTTTATATCTATTATATATTATACAATAGGTAGATATATTTTTAATCTGTGGGTTTATATTTGGTATATTACTTATCTCAACTATTATATATCTAGTGAAAAAAATTCGACAGAAAAGTAACATTTTAAATATAATTATAATACTTTCTTAAACACTATTTTTAGCCTCTAATATAATTAGAAGTGGTCCACCAAAATTGAGATTTAGAAAAAGGGATAAAATGATATTTTATGGAAAGAGAATATTAAGAAAAGTTTGCATACATAAATAATAATTATTAGAAGTTATATAAATTTAATAGTTAAAAAATATGAAAAATGATCATATTGGCCAAAATACAGTTATGAAACGTTATATAATGTTCAAATTAGCTAAAAGGTACACATTTTAAAATGTATACCCTAGCATCATGTTTTTAATATAGTCTCTTAAGCCTAAAAAGAGATGATGAGGGGAAACCTATATTAACTAAACAACCTCCACCAGCTGCAATTTTAGAAGAAGATATATTAAATTCTACAAATATAAGAGGAGAACATTTTTTGCCAGAGGAAGTTATATTTATGCTTAAGAGCATTCAGTAATAGATATATATTTTTTTTTCATCATGGTGAAGTGATTAAAATAAAAAAAAATTAAATTTATATAATTATAAATTAATATGCATGGTATAACAAATAGTTTCTAGCTTTAAATCATATATATTAAGATAAAATAAAATAGTTTATACCCATACTTAAAATGCCTTAGTCAATGATAGAAATGTAATATTGAAATGATATAAATTTACCACATTATTTATGTCATGCTGAGTTTCTTCTTAATAGCCATTATTATTTAATTTATACACAGAGTATTTGGTCACTTTGAAAAACCTGTCTTTTTAGAACTCTGCAAGCATTTTGAATCAATAAATCTAGATAGGGGAGCCTTCCTATTTTCACTTGGGGAGAAAGATGATAGCATGTATGTTATACAGACTGGTCAAATATATGTATATGTTATAGAAAAGGTAAACTTTGACATGTAATTTTAAATGAGTAGTAAGGTATACACTAGTAAACAAACAATTAATCTACAATAAGAATTTTTTATGGGATATTTAATTTAATTGTTGGAGAAATAATATCGTATAGCCCAAAATATTTTCAAACAGTATTTAAAATTAAAACAGAAATGAATGTATAAATATTAGAATGGATTATAAAATGTGTAATTATTTATTATGTAAGGATGGCAGCCAAATGATTACTAAAAAAGCTTGCGAGGGAGACACAATATACAGCTTGCTTAGCGTTTTAGATGGGCTCTCTGTAAGTCACTAGCTGATTGTGAAATCAAAATAACTTAATAATATTAAATCTTCATATTGAGGATATTAAAATTTTTAACAATATTTAACCAGGTTATTAAGATAGAAAAAGAAATATACAGGTTTTTATAGGCCAAGTATTTTTAAAATATTTTGTTTATAATTTAAATTGAAAATAACTTTTATTGCTTATATTATGATGTGCAAAATATATATTTCAAAAAATATTCTATTTATAGGACAATAATTGCATATTTGAGAGCGTATTTGCCAAAGCTCAGGTTGATTCCATCGTACTCAGGTAAATAAACGATAGCGACTATCACAGCATAAACATGAAATATCTTATGAATTTTTATTATAAAATTTATCGTTTACCTTTTTTTTTATTCTGAAAACATAATGATTTATTTCTTGATAAAGATTCGATATAAAAATAAATAAACAAAGATTACCAGTGAAGGCCCTGCAAACTATCTTTCAAAAATACCCACAGAGTTTGGTAAGATTGGTTCAAGTAACATTTAAAATATATACTTACAATTAACAAATAATTTTAAAAAAAAATAAAATTAATAAATAAGCAAATGTTTTAATAATATTTTTATTTCAAATATAACAAGATAATAATGGTTAGATTGCAAAGAGTAACGTTTCTGGCTTTGAATAATCATCTGGGTTTAACGGCGGAGCTATTGAATCCGGTAAAAATTGAACATTTTAATTTTTAAAACATTACACTCACTGTTTGATTAGTTAATAACAAATGAGTGAAAGAATTTGTAAGATATTTCAGGAAAAAAACACATTTTAGGGCCATTTCTTTTCTATATAAATAAAGATAACCTTTTTAAAATATATTTTTATAATAATCGAGGGAAATTTTATACTATGATTTACTCTAGTATATATCTTCGAGAAGCATTCTTTTGAAGCTCTGATACCGGAAAAAAATATATTATTGACGGAAAATATAATAAAACATTGATTTCTTAGAAGCAGGATTTCAAACCTAGTCAATTTAATATAAAAGGTGGAACCAAACCTTAAAATATTTAGATTTAATTAATTTTTATTTTGTAATATTTTTTATTTTCCTTGTGGAATATTACCAATTTATTTTAAATATTTATATTATCTAATGAAGAAAAAAAACGCAGAAGTCATTTATCTTGTAATTTTTTTATTTAGTAATATTTAATAAAAATACCGAATTCGATTTATCATAGTTAGGCTAAGGCTATACCAGAGTGTACGAACGCATAATATTTTGTAAGAATAACGTTTTCTAAAATTTGAATATTTCGAAGGTCTACATATTAAAAAATTTATCTTCTGCTTACTAATTATGTAAATTTCATATTTAAAGATATAAGTGGATTCAAGCAAAGATTACTTTAGATAGAATATCAACATACTTAATCTTATTTAGTAAAAATAAAATATGGTTGAGCAATTGGTTAATTGTACCACATTAAAATGTAAAATAAAATACAATAAATATAAAATAATGGAGATTCGGAATCTCTCAATTTTAAATCATAAATCATTTACCGAGGGCGATTTTAAAAAAAGTCGATTTAACCGGAAATGTATACCTGCATGTAGTGTTGTTAAACGGCTCGTTTTGAGCCGATATTTAAAAATGGCTAACTTAATATTACCAAAAATATATTGCTTAAGGCTCGAGATGTCACTAATAGATATCTAGACCTTTGTGCCATCTATGAGCAAAATCTTCAGGCTTGAGTAACATTTTTCTGGATAAAATATTGAGTTAGCCATTTATAAAGATTGGCTCAACCTGCATGTGTGGAGCACCACACGCTATGATTTTCAGACAAAATATCACCGTAAACATTTTTGTATTTTTTTTATACGAAAAACCCTTAAAAAATATAATAAGAAATAGTTTCTAAAGTTCATAGGCAAAATCGTTGCTGTGTACTCAATACATGCTGGAATACATTTCTTTTAAAATATTAAAAATCATTTTTCACTGTCCAATCCCCATGGATTCCATATCCCAACACGTATATTATTTATTAGTGATATTATTATAATGGTCAAAAGGTGGTTTTAAATTTGTCCCTTTGTAACCGAAATGCACCATATATGAATCATTAATATATTAACGTACCATAACAATTTTTTTATAATATTTTATATCAAAATAGTACAACCAAATGACCGACCCTCTACATAGAGACATGAAAATTCACACGCTTTTTAACAGCAACGCAGCCAATGCCACAAAATTGAACGATGAAAATAAGGAAAACGACGCTAAAGAAAAATTATTCGACAAGGCCAAAGGTAGCTTGATGAGTAACTTGACCGGTCCTAGCAAATTGAGCGCCCTATACAGGAGGCTGGGTAGGAGGAACATGTCTCTCGATATTTCAAAAATGCCTAAGATAATCCCCGCGAAGGTCAGCAACGCCGGCAGTAGGAGCGCTACCATCGGTTCCATAGAAGAAATAAAACCTACAATCGCCGCCATACCCGAGGACAACGTTGACAAAATGGGTGACGATAAGATTAGGAATCGCAAGCCCAAGAAAGGAAGCTTGAGTTCCATCAATCTGAACATAGTAGATCGGACGGATTCTTCCGATACTACCCGGTTCGAAAAGTGGAAGGAGGATCAACCGAAGCAAGGAAATAAGAAGAATCATCGAGAAATAGACTTGCTAAATGTCGAGACTAACGGAGTGGCGACTGAAGATAAAACAGATGGTGGGCCAGGTTAGATGCAATGATATTTTCTAAAAAAAATTGGAGTTTAGCTTGTAATGTTTGTTTTCTAAAAAAAAATTGCGGACATTTGTAATCTTCCAATGATACGTTCTATTTATTGAATAAAATCGGACCTTTCTATTATATAATTTTTCTTTCTTTCAAAAGACAATAAATGGCGTCGAAAAATGTCAGATTTTGACATGGCCCTCTCGAGAGGTATAAACAACAAAAGAGTCTCCTTTTCCCAGAAAAGTTTTAAGGATTTTGCCACGAGCGTGGATAATTACAACAAATTCATTCTGCCGCTTATCCAGGAAAGTAAAACTCCTGACTCTCGTGGTGATAAAAGCGGACACGATATTGTGGACCGAGCCAAATCTTCGGAAATTGTCCAAAATCGGAGAAAAGGCGCGAATGGCGCAAATGGAAAGGAGAACTTTGTAAATGATAAGAAAATTTGTGCCACGATTCAAGAAATCGGACTTAAAGAGGTTTAACTAACTAATAACACCACATTCATTTCCCATCTTCAAGATTAGTCCAATGGATTTTTTTAAAAAAAAAACATCTTTTCTTTACGAGGAAAAGGGATATCTCATTGTTTCAGAATTTTTTTTAAATAATGTAAGCACCATGAGTCATTTGGTTTGTTATCAAGAGAGAGGGAGAAAGAAAGAAAAAAAGAAAGAAAAAGTTTCTTTAATTTTTTATGTACAAATATTTTAAACAAGATTAAGAAAAATGCTCGCTCAAAATCGACTTCAAATTTAAACGATATCGAAAATCAAATAGTCGAGGCAGCGGCTCAGGACATTAAAATGTTGCTAGCCCTTGAAATGGTTTTATTTATTTATTTTAATATACGAATTTCTTAAGAAGAAATCGGATCAATAAGGAAATTTGTGATTAAATAACACCATATTAGAAATTACAATGTGCTTTGTTGATATATATGTTAGCGCCAAATGTGTGTTTTTTTTCCGGCAATATGTTAATTTTTTTTTTGAACTTTAAATCATTTTTTGAGCACGTTTTTAATTATTTAAGAATCTGATATTTTCCAGAAATATATTCCAGCATGTTTAGAAATATTCTATCTTATGAATTGTAGACAGTTTTACCCTCAACCTTTGGAGTCATTTATAATTTATATGAAAAAAAATCTATGGAAAAATGAATATAAATTATTATGAAGTTCGAAAATTCTTGTAGAAAATTGTCTGAAATTCTTAAATTAGGTATTTCAAACATGATAGAATACATTTCCCGTAAAATCAGATTCTTTAAATTATTAAAAAAGCGCACAATAAATGATTTAAAAAAAGTGAAAAAATAACACATTGCCGCTAAAATATATAAAACAAATAGTTTTTATTACGAAATTTATTAGAATTATATCTTTATTTTCAAAAGCCTCTAGAGAAATTGAAATGCAAGTTGAACATTAAGTGCGTTATGCCCGGAGCAATTTTAGTGGAGCAAGATAGCTTGGTAAATAATTTTAAAACTAAAGTTAGTGTTATTAAAATGGCACGTTTTGAAACCGATTTTTAAAAACGGCGAACTCAATATTTTAGCTAGAAAAATATTGCCTAAGCCTCATAATTTCCATAATATATGTCTAGACCTTTGTTCCTTCTATGAGCAAAATCTTCAGGCTTTGATAATATTTTTCCGGATGAAGTATTGAGTTAGAAAGAGCCGTTGTTTAACAAAACTGACTAAAATTATTATTATATATTTTTTTTACCAAAAAAAAATGCCCCAGCGGTCGTAAATTTTAGTTTTAGAAAAAACTAATAAATATATATGTGTTATTAGCGTTAATGTGGAGCGCCTTTTTTTTTTAGAATTTCAAATATATGATTATTTGTGGAATATATTTTAACAATGGTGTATAAAACGTATTATGGTAGGTTTTTTTACATAATTATTTCATGAATTTTTGAGATTTTTTTAAATTTAAATTTTGAATGACTTCACACTTTAATAAGCAAAATGGTCGAAAATTTACTAGGAAAGTTATTCTAAACATGCTAGGATATATTTTCGATAAAATTAGATTTTTTAAAAGCTAAAACAAAAAAAAACGGCTCAAAAAAATGATTTAAAAGTTTAAAAAAATAACAACATTGACGTTTATACATTATACTTTTTATTTCAACATTGTAGGCCCTCAAATATCTAGGGGTTTTAAAATTAGTATCCGATAGCTTTTAAAAAATAAAATCAAGCTAATTGGCAAATTAACTAGTGGTCAGTAAAACCATCACATAATCCCGGACAAAATTATTGATATGGGATTTAATTCTAAAACCGCGCCCATCTGAACTTTTTTTTTCAAAAAAAAAATGTATTACAAAAGGACGTTTCTTTAATATTTCTCGTATCCGGAGGTCTGACAGCGTGGCAAAAGGACCCCGTGTCTCCTTACTATTTTTCTTCTACCTCTTGGAACAAAATGGAAAACTTTGGAAATTTCGCCAATTTAGACCATTCGCATAAATCCAGGGAGAGTAAAGCTTCGGACCCCATTCCTAAAGTGGGGGATTTAAAACGAACGAGCCCGAAAGATGGGATCTCCCACGATCACGAGAATAACGATGGTTTGGTTATGAAAGATCCAAAAAATGAAACGCAAGTCAGGACTTCTAAAAAAGATACGGCAGAAGTAATTTTTTTTTTTTTCAAAATTAGAAAAATTGAAATAATATTATTCAAATTTTTAAGAGGTTGAAGCATTTTTTTGTTCGTATTCGCTCGGTTCAGATGAAGCTGGTCGGTTTCAAATTTGAAAATAAATATTAGCGTTGAAAATTACCTTTGAATATTCATTTTTTTTAAAAAAAAAACTTTTGAATCTATCTATCACTAAATTCAATCAAATTTTATAATATTTCTAAATTTAGAGGTGGAGAAAAAATTAATATTAATTTTTAAATAATTATTATAACTTATCGGAGTCGGACAATGTAAGGCCTAGTTTATAGTACGCTCGTATCGCTGGGTATATTTTTTTTTTTCAAAAGTAAGCAAATAATAGCTAAATTTTATAATGACTTGCGCGATGCGAATTATATCGCTATAGATTAGATGTTTTATCTATCATTTGCTTGATTTTGAAGGAAAATAAAATACCCAAGTGATAAGTGTCGCTAACGCTCGATGCTTACCATAAACGAAACCTAAATCACAAAAATAAAAAACAACGGCAAGTCAAAATATATAATTTTTGAGAGTTAAACTATTTCTTTCTTTCTTTCTTTCTTTCTTTCTTTCTTTCTTTCTTTCTTTCTTTCTTTCTTTCTTTCTTTCTTTCTTTCTTTCTTTCTTTCTTTCTTTCTTTCTTTCTTTCTTTCTTTCTTTCTTTCTTTCTTTCTTTCTTTCTTTCTTTCTTTCTTTCTTTCTTTCTTTCTTTCTTTCTTTCTTTCTTTCTTTCTTTCTTTCTTTCTTTCTTTCTTTCTTTCTTTCTTTCTTTCTTTCTTTCTTTCTTTCTTTCATTAACATAACATTATGTATTTTTGTAATTTACGGATAGCTGCGGTATTTCCCGCTATAAACTAAGCATTTTAGTGATTTTTTTAAAAAAAAACAACTAATTTCCGCTTATTCTAGTCCAACTCTGTAATCAAATTTGGATTGGACTAGACCAAAAGAACATTAATTCTACAGAAGCTGAAGTAGCTATTACACCTAAAAATTGAGTGAAAATTATGTATCTATATTGCCCATAGACATTATTTAATAAATTAACGTTATTTTACCAAACGTTTCTTATTTGGTTTTGCATTTAAATATTGATACCAGATGTGTCATACTAATTGTTCTACTACACCTTCTGATATATTCAATATACACTACAAATTTCGTGATTGAAATTAGTATCTAACCATTATTAGAGGCTGATATTTATAAAAATGATTTTATCTATATTTTTTTCAGAAATTTTTCATAATTTTGGCCATTGACTTAGATATGCTTTAGCGTGTTCTGTCTCTACCCTTTCTAGGTTGCTTTAGGGTGTCAAAATAAGATATTTGTTCTATTACACTTTTTACCTTTAAATGAGTATTTTCAATATGTTTTGTGCAAAGTTTTGAAAATGCTTTTCAAAATAAATTTTTTTTTAAAAATGATTTTCGATTTTTTCTTAAGCTCGAAACACATATCATTTTTTGTAAAAAAATCTTTTATAAGTAAATCTTTTGTGATTGTCATACATAGAATATCTTTCACGATGAAATTAAAGAAATATTTAAATTTTGTTATCTCTCAAAGAATTTTTGGCTCAAAATTTTGCTCAAAACATCTTTGAAGATTTTTTTTTCAAACTCTGTTTTTATGCATTCTTTATAAGTATGCTTGTATACAATTAAAATTTTTAAAATGTGAGATATCTTTTAAAATTGTAAATTTAATTTTCTTATATTCGTAAAAATGTTTAAAAATGTGATATTTCATTTATTTAAATAAAAATATGAAGGTATTCTTCCTTAATATGTTTAAATATATCACTCCCACGTTTACTGTTTTGGTCATATAAAATATAATTGTTTAAAAAAATTGATTTAAATATTAAAAAAAAATATCTGCGATTACACTCTGGTTTAGGATCAATCCCTGTAATGTTTAGACTTTAGATCATCAGTTTCAAATACAAATTAATGCTTAGTCTGACTAAATATTTTTTGATTAGACAGAGCAGGAAAATAATAAAGGGAATCAGATATATGAAGAAAGGAAGGAAAAAAAGAAAAAACGAAAAAAATGTTTGAATAAAATTGGATTAATATACTAAAATATAAAGATAATTTCTTAAGAAAATATAATCAATTTTTGTTGGAAGGTTTAAAATTAAATTAATAAAAAATTTTGTGAACTCAAATTATAGAGCCCTATTTTTTTAAATTTTAATCCCTATCTTTAGTGTTGTTAAACAGTTCCATTTGAACCGATTTTTGTGGACTATTCTAGTTAGCGAAATCGCAGATGAAGGATGGAAAGAAAGAAAGAACAATCTTTTTCTGGCAAAAATATTGAGTTAGCCGTTATCTTAAAAATAGGCTTAAATTGAGCCATTTAACAACATTACCCATCTTTATACATTTAACTTATATTTATGCCCAACAGACTCCATCTAGTTTTAGATTAAATTATGAGGATTACAGGAAAGGTAAAATAGATTACGACGAAGAATATGAGATCGAAGACGACGTAGCCGAGAGTGAGGAAAGTGAAGACGCCAAAGCTTTAAAAGAAGAAGAAGTTTGTGTGTTTGTGGTGAAACCCGGAGAATTCGTGGATGCCCTATCAGTTATAACTGGCGAAGCTTCTATATTCACTATTAAAGCCCGTGTTAAAAGTTGGATTATAACAATCGATAAAACTCAATTTTACGAGTTAGTTTGTTTATTTAAAACGAAATTAAATTTATTTTAACTCTTTTTTAAAAATTTAAAAAAATGTTTCAATTGTTACTTAATTTATTGCTACCTTATATATTAGGTTGAGCAAAAATTAACGAAAAATTTATAAAAAAGAAGTATTTTATAGTGCGCACAAATTGAACATTTCAAAGGCAGCTTTTCAAAACGCAAATAATGCATTTTAAATACATTTCGTTTAAATTGGACAGAAATTTTTTTTTGTTTTAAATTTATACGTTTCTTTCATATATATTGAAGAATAAAAATTAACGGTTCAATTTACGTTTACTTTTTTTTTATTTTCGTTGAAACGCTGCTTTGAAACGTTCAATTTGTTGCGCACTATTAGGCCGTGTCCCGATTAGCCTTATTTTTTTAAAACTTATCTCTGTTTTGGACCAAGTCTCAGAGAATGAGCTACTTCTATAAAACAACGCGACAATGCGGTTTGAAGAGCATTTTGGTTTTACGAATCAAATATTTTTTTATATTGAGGTAAGAAATCGAAACGAATATTACTCCAGGCAAATAAGTTTATATCACAGTAAACATAATATATTCATTACAATGGGAGGATTTAATTGAATATTGACTCATGAGCCAGATTGGTTACATGAGTGCTATTCTTAAATCTAAATAGCTACGTTATTTTTTTAATTATTTTGTTTAAAGAAAGTTATATAGAACTGGTAGAGTTATTCTGTTTAGAAAATAAAACGAGTCATGGACAGAGTCCTTTATCGAATCGATATGTTTTATTCAAAAATTTGTTTTATAAATAAAGTAATACCTTTAACAATGTTTACTCTTCATATGCAAATTTCTTTAACAAAACAAAAATTCCGAAAAAAATATGTAGAATCCTTAATGAACAACCCTGGGCCGTTTTAAACCTGGCGCAAGCTGTTGTCATGAAAATATCCCCATTCCTGCGCCAAATAGACTTTAGCCTTGATTGGGTCCAGATCGAAGCTGGGAGAGCTTTATTCAGGTCAATGATTGTATTTTGAGGATTTTAACCTATAAATATGAGCTAATAACTGACGTTGACTAGAATTAGACTATATATGATAAGGGTTGACCCGGCCCAAACCGGCCCATAGAAATTTTTGAATAGGTTTTTCATGCTGGCCCGACTTGCCCCTTATAATTTTATAGAAAGTCGTTGACCATAAATTTTTTTTTCCACAATAAAGTGGCATCGGGATATTTATACCTTGAGGTTAATGTTATGATTATAATTTCGTCTTGAAACTAATTTATTTATTTTTTTTAAACTAAAAGACAAAACGAGAAATCAGATTGTATTTATATAGTGTTGAGCGGGCGAGTTCGTTCTATTCACAAGACTCATGGAAGCCACAAAAGGGAAATCATCGGTGAATTTGGAAGGGGGGAACTAGTCGGATTGGTAAATTACATTTTACCCGAATATATCAATCTTTCTTTTATTTTTAAAGCAAAACTATTAAAATATAAGACATCAATCATTATATCATTTCTGGGAATTGTTACAAATTTATAGACTCTAACATTAAAATATATTTATTTTTTTCTTCTTACTTTACGTATTAGGTTGAAGTGCTTACACAAAAACATCGATTCTCGACCATAATCGCTATTAGGTATTCAAAATATTCTTTATACCGCCAATTAGTGTTGTTAAACGGTTCGATTTTTAAAAATGGCTAACCCAAATATTTTAGCCAAAAAAAATTACGTTATCCTAGCGATTTTGTTAATAGTTGTCCTAACCTTTCTACCACCTTCATTATGCAACTAGGATTGCGTGATAGTTTTGGCTAAGATATTGGGTTAGCCGTTTAACTACCGCCTATATTTATGTAAGAGCTATTGGGTTGATCTACAATTTAAACTTATATATGTATTTTTACACAATTATTTTTTTGGGAGATGGAACTTACTATACTCATTAAACAAAAAAATTTAATTTTTTTTGATTAAGATATGATTTTTACCTCTTTTTTTACAAATTATTTTCCCTAATATTTTTTTTTGTAGGGATACGGAATTAGCCAAAATTCCCGAAGGTTTATTGGACCAGATAAAGAAAAATCATCCCAAAGTAAGATTATTTCTAAACCACTTTTATATTGAAAAAAATTTGATGACCTTTTACTGTTAATTTGACCATCAATTATTAATCCTTCTTCGAAGGTATTGTAGTGATTGAAAAAATTAATCGACGAATATCATTTTGTGATTAGTGAAGATTTACAGTAGAGATTTGTAAAAAGGGGGGTTAAAATTTTTTTAACTTTGTTTGGACGCGCTGAGCGGGGAACGATTTAAAAATATTTTTAAAACAGCAGATGAGAATATGAGAGGGAGTAAATTTAAAAGATTTCTCGGGCAAATGAACAGAACGGGGTAAGATGGTAACATAATGGGTTTCATTATCCATTTTATTATTGAATTATTAAATATCTTACTCATCAAAGGAGGTTAGAGGGCTCTTGAGCGAATGAAAACATATCAATAAAAATCATTATGTACAAATTTTACTAATTTATATTTAATTTCTAATTCTACCCACCAAACAGGTCGTGACAAGGTTAATTCATTTGTTAGGGCAAAGATTGTTGGATACCATGCAAACTCGCAATGGTCCTGTTTTCGGTATACTAAAAGTTGCTTATCTTTTGCTATTGGATGTGATACTAAGAGATTATCTTTTTCAACTTTTTTGCTTAAAACTACTTAAACTTTCTATTCATTAATCAATCCTTGGAAGGAAGGAAGGAAGGAAGGAAGGAAGGAAGGAAGGAAGGAAGGAAGGAAGGAAGGAAGGAAGGAAGGAAGGAAGGAAGGAAGGAAGGAAGGAAGGAAGGAAGGAAGGAAGGAAGGAAGGAAGGAGGAAGGAAGGAAGGGAAGAAATAATTTCCTCACCTTCTTACCTAATCTTTATTTTACTAATTTTAATTCATTTCGTATTTCGCGATGTTAGATTTTTTTCTAATAAATATTCGATTAATTGTTTTTTTAACACGTTTCGTTTGCTTTCCCAATGAATATAATCGATTTTTAAAATGAAGAGTTACCCGGTCTGGAGAGCAAACCAATCTCGTCGAATCTCTCTACGGTCGCCATTGTTCCAGCTTCTTCTGAGGTGCCTATAACCAATTTCACCTGCGAGTTACAGTTCGCCTTAAACACCATTAGTAACCAACTCTTCTATAATTATAATATTTATATAGCTTTTTTTTTAAAACAAAAATTCGTTTTGGAATAACCTTTTTTATGCCAATTCTCTATTTATAGGCAAATATTATTTATCAGGGATAATTATAATAAGCGTTTTTTTGCATATATATAATTTGATAATATTTTTAGGGCAATAACTGCGGGACGAGATTTAAGAGGTACCTCGCTAAACATAATTAGAATAATTTGTTGAATTTGTTTTTATGCAATTTATGGCCCGGGTGAAATTGTTTGGTTATTGAACTAATCAAGACAGCACTTACGGGGTGATTTAGTGACTCTGCCTCTTCATATAAATATATAAATGCCCTCGCCTCATTCCCACTAAACACAATTGGAATACTTAAAAATGGTTTTTATGCAATTATTGTGCAGACCCTGGGAACCTATCAAAGACAGTACTAAGGGATGAGATTTAGAGGATTCTCCCTTTCCGTATAAATGTATACCCCCCCCCCCTCTTCCCACAAAATATAATTTTAAAACTTTAAAAATATTGTTTTATGCAATCTAAATAATATTTATCTTCCTAATTAAGTGATGCAAAATCTCTCCATTTTAAGCCGATTATTTAAAACGTCTAACTCGATATTCGCCACAAACAAATATTGTCTTAAGCAGGGATGTGAACCCTTCTACAAAAAAAAGAGTCCGGGTTCGGGTACAGGAATTAAATTTGAAAGGATCCTGGTCCAGGGTTTGGGTCCGGGTTCATGGAACAAAAATAATGACTCAGAGTAAGATTTTTTTAACATTTATTATTATACTTCAATATATACATATTCATAATTTACAATGAAAAATTTAAATGGAGTAATTTATATTTAAAATGTTTTATTCTCGCACAATCATAATATCTTCAAAAATATCATCCTTGAGATTTCCACGTAAAGCAGACAATATACATTTTAAAAATGAAAAATCACGTTCTACCATTACCTAAAATAGATAGTTATCTTTATAAAATTATTGTACTTGTGTCGCCGGTACAGTCATGAAGATTCTAGATAAGATATATAATTCTGAATATATTGAAGAATTTTCTTCCCAGAATTTTAAAATATTTATTTCCTTATTTATTCTCCTAACTTCTGAGAACTTTAATATTAAAGATGCAATAAGTATTTTTTTTATCCTCATTTCTATCTGATGATAATTTGATTTTTTTTTCTCTATCTAAAAGTAAAATTTCAAGATCGTCAATGTTGCTATCATTATTATTATTATCACTACAACCAATAGGTATTGTCGTAGCCTCATATATTGTAAATAATGGAGTTTTGCTTATGCCATAAATCCTTAAGATGGTCTTTAGCCATTTGTTTTTGCTCAATACTCAATAAAACTTGATATCGAGGGTCTAAATATATAGAAGCGTATACAACACTTTTTCGCAAATATTGTTGCTCACGAATTTTCATGGTTTCTAATATTTCTTATAAATAGGACTGTAAATTTTTCTAAATCTAATCGGCATCTATATGCCTTAAAATCAAATAAACATAATTGTTCTGATTGTAATCTTAATATTGTTATTTTTAAAGGAAACTAATATAGGTCCTTTATATGGCACCAATCATCTTCCGAGAAAATGACTTTACATGCTCCTATAATAAAATCATTACAGAAATCTTTCAAACTTAATAATTATTCTAGCATCATACAAATTGAGGACCAACGTGTTGTGCATTATCATTTAAATTGATATATTATTACTTGTACTACAAAATAATTCACTTTCAAAATAGTCAACGTATTTCTATAGCATAGCATATTAATAAATTTACATAATAAAATATTATTACACTGGAAAATAATTTATGATATCAATCTCTAAGTAAAATGGAAGTCCAGGAAGAAAATTGAAAGAAAAACGCGAAGATAAAAATGATTCCACAAAAAAAGTTAATAAAATAAAAAAATTTTTTTATTATTATTTAAAAAAATATTATTATTTTTAAAAATTTTTATGACACCCAGAACCCTTGAACCCTCGACTTTTTAAAAGGGGATGGGTTCGGGTTCAGCCAAAATACGAAGATTCAGGGTCCGGGTTCGGGTTCACATCCCTGGTCTCAAGACTCTAAATTTCTCTAATAGATGCCCAAACCTTTGTGCCATCTTATAAGCAAAATCTTAGGGTTTTTTGAAATGTTGAGTTTAACCGTTTTTAAAAATCGGCCCAAATGGAACGATTTTGCATCACTATATCGAATTTAATCATTAATAAAACATTATTCTATTCAATTTTTCCCCATTTTTTTTTAAAAAAATAGTTCCTACCTTAAAATTGGATAGCCACATTGTAAAACGTGAACTTGGTGACGGGGCTCTAGACAGGTGATTTTAGAATAATTACATTAAAAAATTGAAAAAACAATTACAAATCTTTTTTTTTAATATTTAGTTTTAATTACTCCCATCCCATTATTTCCATATAAGGGTGCACCAGTTTTTTGTTAAAAAAAAATATCAGATCGGATATAAAACTTTTCCGTCAAAAAAAAATTAATCAATTTAAGATGCTCGATTTATTATTAACTAATTGACATAAAAATTTATTGCTTCTAAAGGGTTCGGTCTGAACCAGCTCGTTTATCCACCGGATTTTTCGGCCCGGCCGTTAAGATTACGTGTTGAGCTGGGTCGACTTTTAATTATTTTTATTATTATCCTTGTCTTTTTTTTCTCAATATTTAGTCATTTCTTTAAAAAAGTTGCGACAATCTTACATATATTTGAAAAATAAGTTTTAACGAATACCGGCTTTCCAATTGGCTAGGTCAACAAGAGGACCTACATGGGATGGTACTTTACCAATGCGATTACCATTTGTCGAATTGGACTCGCCGATGTGTTAGACAAGCCGATTGTGTGTTGATAGTAACGGTAGCGGATTTGGGGCCTATGCCTGGACATGTAAGAACCTGATTATTTGATAGAGACCGTAAAAAGTTGCATCACATAAAAAATAAAAATATCGCTTGTCAGAGATTTATAAAAGTTAATATATTGAATTCAGAGTTTTAAACTTATACTCTAAAAAGGGTTTTCGATATATTTTTTTTTAAAAAAAAGGGTTACGGTGCCTAAAATTTTGGAGAGTGGATTTTGGTTCGGTTTCTTAAATTTGTCGCGATTACGAATGGTACCTTCTAAAAAGAATCACGCAATATTTTAAACTTTATGTGCTAAATATCGATTTTATTAGAAATTAATTGTAGGAGAATATTATTTTTATAAAGCATAGGGTTATTATTGTTTTTTTTAAAATATTTATTATTAGATAATTAAATTAATCACAAGTAAATAATTGTTTTAATGAAAATAGTATAGAAATAAATAAGGAAAATGGGTTAAGGGGATTTATACTAGGAATAATTTGGGGGAAAGGGGGAAATGGTAGCTAAGGGAAAAATTAATAGGGAGAAATATTTTATTGAAAGGAGAGTATTGAGGAGCTGGAAGGGGATAATAAATATTTATAAATTACTTAAAATCAGAATGATGCCTCTCAGACGCAGCTGGATATATGAGGACGTGCAAATAGAATTAATTTTGAGACCTAGACCGAGGATGTTCCCCAAGCATGGATTACGAGCACCGATGAATACAAGGATAGGAGGGGGAAGAGGATCGGGAGCGGAGTATCGGCTTTGCTATAAATGCGGTGAGCGGGGACACCTTCAACGATGGTGTCCGTGGGGAAGGGAGAGTGAAAGGCGCGTGGAACCGATAAGGTGTTACGAGCAATGGGCATATGATCCGGATACTGGAAGATGGGGAGATCCTGATCCCAATGTAGCGGTAAATGATGACGGAAGATATGACCTGGAGCTTGCGGTTGGAAATGTCAATGGGACTCGAGAGCAGGTTGGTGCGGATAGTCAGCCGGACTCTGACGTGGAGTTAGTGAGGACGGGGGAGCACTTGGGGGCAGGGATGTGAACCCTTCAACAAAAAAAAGGGTCCGGGTCCGGGTTCGGGTCCTGTAATAAATTTTTAAAGGACCCGGGTCCAGGGTAACATAAAAATAATGACTCAAAATAAGACTTTTTTTTCATTCATTTTTATTATACTTCAATATATATACACATTCATAATTCAAAATGAAATAATTTAAATTTTAAATATTTTATTCAATCGAACGATCATAATATCTTCTAAAATATCATCCTTGAGATTTCCACGTAAATTAGACAATATGTATTTCAAAGAAGAAAATCCACGTTCTACGCTGACCTAAAATAGATAGTTATCTTTATAATATATAAATTATTGTACCTGTGTCGCCGGTACAGCCATGACGAATCTAGACAAGGTATACAATTCAGGATATATTAGAGAATTTTCCTCCCAGAATGTTAAAATATTTTTATCCCTATTAATTCTTTTAACTTCTGAGAATTTTTCAATTAAAGATACAATCAATATTTTTTTCACCTTTCTATCTGATCCTGATGATAATTTTATTTTTTTTTCTCTATCTAATAATAAAATTTCGAGATCGTCAATATTACTATCATCATTACTATCGCTACAACCATTAGATGTTGAAGCCTCCAATATATTGTTAATAATAGAGTTATGGTTATGCCATAAATCGTCGAGATGGTCTATTGCCATTTGCTTTTGCTCAATACTTAATAGAACTTGATATCGAGGATCTAAATATATTGAGGCATACGCAACACTATTTTTCAAATATTGTTGCTCTCGTATTTTCATGTTTTCTAATATTTCGTATGAAAAGGAACTTGTAAATTTTTCTAATTCTAATCGATATCTCACCCATATGCCATAAAAATCGGATAAACACAACTGTTCTGACTGCAATCGTAATGTAGTAATTTTCAAAGGAACCAACACCCTAGTAAGGTCTTTAATTTGATTCCAATCATCCTCTGACAAAATGATTTCACATGATCCTATAATAAAATCATCACAGAAATCTTTTAAACTTATTAATCGCTCTAGCATCATACAGATAGAGGACCAACGGGTTGTGCAATCTAATATTGCCATTTGCCTTTTCATGGATTTTAATATTCGTACAATTGTAGGAGTTCTTAAATATTTAGCAACATCCCTTGCTTTGTCAATTATAGTTTTAAAGATATTATTTTTGAGGGAATCATTAATAGCTAATTGTAGTGTGTGGGCTGCACATCTGATACAGTATATCTTCGTGAAAAAATCTTTTATTATCTCCGGTATGTCAAATTCACTTATGTCCTTAAAATTATTATCATCATTATTTATATCTATATCATCCATTTCGTCCAATGAACATTCATTTAATAATTTAATAGATTTGACTAGATTAGCACCATTATCCGTAGTAATGGTATAAACGTTTCTTAAAGGAATATGGAATTTATTTAAAGTTTCTATTATCATTCTTTTTATATTTTCAGAAGTTGAACTTTCTTTAATCTCCTTCATTGCTAAATTTCTTAAGATTATATTATTTCCTTTAATATATTGTATATTTATTCCTAAAATATTTCTCCCTAATCTTTGGGCGGAATCTATTTTAATGAAATTAATTTGTTTTTTGTTTCTTTTATAATTTTTGCTTGTATTTTTTTCGATTCATCAACCACTAAGTCCTTAATTTTAAAACGGTTAATTGATGTTCCAATTGCCTTACTAATAGGATCAATAATTTTTTTTAAACCAGAATCCTCAATAATATTGAAAGGTCTTCCATTTATTGTAACAAGCTCAACTAAAGCATTCATCAAATTCTCCTCAGACATTTGAATATGAATGCTTTTTTTAGGCAAAAAGCATATTAATAAATTTACATAATAAAATATTATTACTTACACTAGAAAATAATTTATGGTATCAATCTCTAAATAAAATGAAATGAAGTCCAGGAAGAAAATCAAAAGAAAAGCGCGAATATAAAATAAATGATTCCAAGAAAAAAATTAATAAAATTATAAAAATTTTATATTATTTTTTAAAAATAATATTTTTACATTATTTAAAAAAAAAATTTATATGTTAAAATTTTTACCCTGAACCCTTTGAACCCTCCACTTTTTAAAAGGGTTCGGGTCCGGGTTCGGGTTCAGCCAAAATACGAGGGTCCAGGGTCCGGGTTCACATCCCTGCTTGGGGGCTCAAGATAGGAATATGATGAACTGAGCCATGATGAGGAAGTTGAGGAGTCAAGAATGCAGGAACCGGTGAATGAGGATGAGGATCTCCCCAACTTCCAGTATCCGAATCATATGCCCATTGCTCGTAACCCCTTATCGGTTCCACGCGCCTTTCACTCTTCCTTGCCCACGCCGCTCACCGCATTTAGAGCAAAGCCGATACTCCGCTCCCGATCCTCTTCCCCCTCCTATCCTTGTATTCACTGGTGCTCGTAATCCATGCTCGGGGAACATCCTCGGTCTAGGTTTCAAAATTAATTCTATTTGCACGTACTCATATATCCAGCTGCGTCTGAAAGGCATCATTCTGATTTTAGGTAATTTATAAATATTTAACTTTATATATATTTAAATTACTCGAACCTATATGAGAACCGGTTCTGGGGGTTCCTTAGTATTTCTAAATGGGTTGTCTGGTTTCTATAAATTATAAACAGTTGGTTTCAAACGCTGATTAGAAATTTCTATCGTTTAGAGTGTTGGCGTTGGTGTTCGCAACCAAACTTCTATTTTATATTCATATACAACTATAATTATATTTTACTAAAACAATACTTTGATTTATCGACTTCTAATCATAGCCTTGTCGCTAAAAAAATAAATTATTTATAAAGTTGGAACTACAATTGGAGAACTTTATGGTTAGAGCTCAACGAGAACTCATAATACTCCACCGAGACAAAAATACTCCCCCTAAATCCACAGCGGATTGGCTCAATAACCGTTCTTGGATATCCTCTCATCACCATATCGTAGGTCCTAAACGTATGTTTTTGAGGAGGCTTTTCTCCAATTCTTACGCTACTGGTAAACTCATTGACAGCACCGTACACTTTCCCAGTTCGCAAACCAAAAACGATCCAGGAAATACGAATAGCAATGGCACTGGCCGAGATTCGAGCCTTAGCCTCCCTAACCCTCCTAGGGTTTGATATATCTTAGAAATGTTTTATGAAAGATAATATGCGCTCACTTTTTATAAAAAGCCTTGTTTTCTACGGACCTGTATTTATAAGTTAAAGTTATGGGCCGCTAATTTCTAATACTTAGGCATTTAAACTGATTTAAAGTTTATACCACGATTCAGACCATATTTTCATTTAATTAAATGATTTTTTTTAGGAAGGATTAAATTCTACAAATATATCTCAATCAAAACTTCTTGAGCAATATATATGTTTTAATATATATATATATATATATAATAGCCTATGCTATTTTTTTGGCGGGATTTTATAAAAAATAGGATTAATAATTATGCGCTGAGGGGAGTTATATTTAATTTATATTGAGAAATAAATATCAAGTGTCTTCTTTTTATCTAGATTCAGGGGTCAATATTTTTATATAATAATTTTATTCCACGAGCAATGGCATTAGGGATGGAGAAATTTGTAAATTTTTTTAAATATCATTTTAAATTTAAAAATAAATAAAAAAGATGCTACACAGCTTTATGGCAACAACATGGAAAATAAAATATTACTCTAAAAATAATGATATTAATAATTTTTTAAAAATTTTAAAAAGGAAAAGTAGGAAATATACAAATTAAAAAGATTGTAGAATAAGGTGTGAGCTAGTTTTGTTAATGATTTGAGCCGATTTTTAAAAACGGTTATCTCAATGTTTTAGCCAGAAAAATATTGCCTAAGACTTGAGATTTGGCTAATAGATGTCCAAACCTTTGTGCCATCTATGAGCCAAATCTTCAGGCTTGATATTTTTCTGGTTAATATATTGAGTTAGCCGTTTTAAAAAATCGGCTCAAATCGAGTCGTTTAAAAACACCAGGTGCCACGAAAGGTTTGGGAAACATATAAAATGTTATTATTAAGAATTTTCATCCTAATTTGCCTGTTTTAATAGATTTTTTTAGTCGGTCGAAGATTCCAGGAAAGCAGCATTCTTAGAGCCAATGTGGCCATTACCCAATTAATGAAAAATAATTAAAATTGATAGAAAGCTCTAAAACGGTCTCCCATTAGAGAAGATACTCAATATAATTAGAGATTAAAAGAAATGTCCCAAGGCAACCTTTTGGTGTATCGCTGATTACTGCACTGTTAAATTAATGTCATTAGAGCCGCTTGCTATTGTTAGTTAATAAACCCACCTACCAGATATAAATAATACTAGACCGAAGTTAACGTCTCTTTAGTATGTCTTCTGAGATATCAATTATTTTTCCACGACCAGCAACACTGATATTCAGAATTTTTGCAACCCGTCATTTATCCGATCGCAATTTTAAATCCCTATCCCCCTAAATAAAAATGTAGAAAAAGAGACCAATTTTTGCTACTTGAAGAAAAGGGGACCTCCAAATTTTTTTTAAATTAAATTGATTTTTCATCTTAATTTTCGTTTTAGAATTAGGAAAATAAATTGTCTCGATTTTGGCAAGAAATATAAATCGAATAACAATGAACCATTTACAACAAAGTATGGCTTCGAACAACGACGATTTAATTTTAATTTTAATTGATATATTTTATGTTTTAAATAATTCTTAGATGAATATTAACAAATGACGTATCAAATAAAATATTAGATAAATTTGGTTTTAATTAAATTAACAGTTAATAAAAATAAATAAAATAGTCGATATGATGAACAAGGACCAATTTTTTAAAACAATTGTTTTTTTTTCCTCTTCGAAATTCCAAAATTTTTACATCATATCCAGGCAGCCAAGATGCTTCAGTTTATAGATGAGGGAGGTGGGTGACTAATTGGGGGCTAAAAAATTTTCACAGGTTAGAAACAAGAAGGCCAAGTATGGGAGCCGATATTTTTTTTGGCTGTTTATGTCATACCTAGTGTTGTTGAACGGCTCGTTGATTTTTAAAAATGGCTAACTCAATATTTTATTCCAGAAATGTATTACATAAGTCTGAAGATTTTTCCCATAGATGGCACAAAGGTTTGGACATCTATTAGCGAAATTTCAAGACTTAGGTAATATTTTTCTGGCTAAAATCTTGAGTTAGCCGTTTTTAAAAATCGACTCAAATCGAACAACACTAGTCATACCTTTGCCATTATATCATTTTTAAATATTTAAAATAGTCGGATTTTTATATGGACCTGTTATACAACGCCTCCTATTTCAATCCGGCTAGACTCGAGGGCAAAAATGAGGCCGAAACCGCCGTCATACTTACCAAGCGCAACATCGAATTTTGCGAAAACGATTTTTTTCGTCTTGCGCGCTTCTTAACCGGAACCTCGGTCGGTTTAGTGCTAGGAGGTGGCGGAGCTAGGTATTCTTTAATTTTTATAAGGAGAACAAATTAATTTATTAAGTAAATATTCGCTCATAATTATTCCTCATTTATTAGCAACGTTGATTTTTTTTTCAAGACTTTATCCTGTATCAGATTCATACTTATTTGTTCGTTTTTATTTTATGTTGCCATTAAGGGGAATAGCCCACGTTGGAATGATAAAAGCTATGAAGGAAGTGGGCATACCCATTGATCTAATAGGCGGTACCAGTATAGGGGCCTTCATGTCGGCCCTCTACGCCGAAGATAGGGATGTCGTTAATATGACCCGTAGGGCCAGGGAATGGTCAAATGTAATATGATACAAGATAATATTACCTTAAAATGTTTAATAATCAGGCATGACTCCTATAATTCTTTTATAATTGGTTTTAAAAAAAAGTTTGTTCGTTTAGAGTGGGACCCTCGTGTTAACTTACACATTTTATATCTGTGAAAATTATAATACTACAAAAAACTCTACCAGTTCAAAGCTATTTAATGACACACACAATCTACCAACACAACTCTAAAACTAAACTTAATATCAACTCCAAATTTTATTGTCCAAAAATATATGTATACAAAAAAGTCAAATAGTCATTACAATTAAATCTCGTCTTTTTTATACCTTTTTTTTGATCAGGCTACTAATAATAATATGACAAATATGATAATATCTCTTCACGTTATTTGTTATAAATATAGAATTAATTTTGTAAAATCACATTTCGCTCTTATCAGGTTGAACCGCCTACAGAGTTGTTAACATGAAAAATGTTAAAATATTACTCTTACCTGCAACAATATAACAAAAGTTATACTATTAGTTAAAATATAATACCTTGATTCAGGGATCGGTATTAACCGTTATTATTAACACCATTAAAATTGATTCCTTCTTATAGATATAATTTGACAGAAGAGAATCCGGAAATAATTTTAATCGTATAAGGTTTCAATAGGTATTTTTTTTTAGGGAATATTATTTTGTTACTATTTAGGAATGTTTGTACATAACCCTTGCTAAAAATAAACAACTTTGAAAATAAATATCAATAAAATTAAAAAAAAAATAAATAAGGCGAAACGCGTCTTAAAATAAGAAATCTATTTATCATGGTTAAAACATGATACCATATTATCATTCCTTAACTTAAACTCTAATTTTTTCAATTATCCCTTTATACATGATGATCCCGGATAGATCTGATCCCTATAAAAATTACGACACGTGCAGTTAAAATAAACCTTAGTTGCTTTTTATGGATTTTTCGTGATGAAATTTTATAAACAATTGCTTTCCTATTTATAATTCATAATTCTAATAACTTTGTATTCGAATATGGTTCCAAGTGGTTTTTATAGGTACAAATCGACCCTATATTATTGTTTTATCTAAACCTTATACCGTCTTTTATTTAAACCTGATCCGAATCTATGCCTAAAAAATGTAATCATTAATAAATGATCAGTAATTTTTGTTAATAAAATGAGAGAATAATTCGCGATTTTGTAAAATATTATTTCTAGAGCGTTCCGAATTATTCTAAAATATTTGGATTGTAATGTATCTTTCTCGTTTTATGAAATTTATACAAAGTTCTTTTTCCAGCAGAAAAATAATATTTCTAATCATATATTTTTTTTTTTCAAAATATAAATTGATTTTGATAAATTAATAAAAAAAAAGTTTGAAAATGGTTGAACATAATCTCACAACTGAAAATATAGCAGATGGTAAAATATATATTTTTTAAAAAAAGTCTTGATAAATTGGGCAGAGCAAAAATCTTGGTCTCAACGATGCCTAAATTAGACAGGGTTGACTGTATATATTTTTAGATCCAACACGTTTGGTCCTGCCTTAGATTAGCAAAATAATTTCTTTTTTAAGACTCAACGTCACGCCTGCAGAGGGTTATATATGTTACCGACTATGTGTGTGTAGCGTGTATTGCCTGATCAATATTTCAGTCAATCCTCATAAATTAAGGAAGAATTCAAAAGTTTACTAGTAGATTTTCTAAAATTTTATAGGTTACGGTATATTTTACATATATTAATTATATTTTAAGGAAAAATAAAATCTTCAAATTTGAAAATCACTCTTAACAAATTTATTTTGCTATTTTTAAACTTTAAAATCAGCTATTTCTTTTAATTTTACCGAAAATGGATTCCAACATTTTGTTAAAATCTACCTTATAAATTTTAAGTTATATAAGGTATTTTAATATATTGCCTGATCACGCAGTAATATAGATATATATATATATATTTATACTCTGTTGGTTTCTAAATAAAATAATATATAAATAATCTGTCAATCAAACCTAGCATATGACATCGATATGGAAAAGAGTGAGCGATTTAACTTATCCACATACAGCCATGTTCACCGGTTCAGCCTTTAACGATAGTATAGAGGAAGTCTTTAAGCAGAAAATGATCGAGGACTTATGGATCCCCTATTTCAATGTCACCACCGATATCTCATCTTACGATATGAAAATACATACCAATGGTTTTATTTAATATTATAAACACAATGAAGTCCTCAATATTCCCCAGCTTAACCAAGATCACTAACGTTTAAATCCCATATACGTAAACGCCTTTAAGTGGGTCACCCAAAGATAAAAATTGAAGGCGTGTAGAAAAGGGGAAATTAGTCTTTTAGTCAAATTTTTCCTAAATCATCATCGGATGAGATTTTTGATTATATATATTTTTTTAGATATTGATTTTTAACGCTTGATTCAAATTACCGTAATATATATTATCTTCTAATGCGTCTTGTCAAGGTTGTCTTTGGCGATATGTTAGGGCCAGCATGTCTCTCTCTGGATACTTGCCTCCCTTGTGCGATCCCCAGGACGGACACTTACTACTAGACGGTGGTTACTGCAATAATTTACCTGGTTAGTATATATATTTTTTCTTCCCTAAATATACTGAATATTATATATGAATATGGGTCACATATAATTTAAAACTTGAGAGATTATTTTAATTAAATGCAAAATTTTGTTCTGAGCCGAGATATAAGATCTGGACTCACGAGGTTAACAAAAGCAAAGAATGGGGGGGGGGCATAAATGACTTTTGAACAAACAGTAGTCTTTCTACCCTCGAGGAATGGATTGTGGTAATTTTGGAGAATGGATTTGACCATCGATTAATTTGTAAACCTGAAATGAAGCAGAATACGTCGTAACGGTCAATGCACATAGCTTAGTTTTAACCGAGGTTTCGTCAAATTATGCAGTTTGCCGATTTAGAGGGAATGGTGCGCGAAAATATTATTTTTGAAATATAATCAATTATGCTTTAATAATAAAAAGAGATCTACACCATTTCGCATAAAAATTTAAACTAGTAATTTATAAAACAATTAATTCGCCTTATAAAATGCATTTTGGCGTTATTAAGATTATGTTCAAAATCATTTTTTAAAAAAAAAAAGATTCGAAAAGTTTAAAAACTTTCGAAAATTTTAATGAAATCGTATATGTTAACATTTTTGAAATTTGTAAAATTTTCTGTAATTATGTTTTGGATATGTTTTTATTTTTTTTTATATTTAAAATAGCTAATTTATATATTTTCATTAAAGTTTCGAAAGTCTACGAATTTTATTTTTTATTAAATGAAAAAAAATATATTTAAATTAAAAAAATATTTTTTTTTGTTATATTTAATAGTCGGCCATTTTTTGTAAAAATTTTTAAATTAATTAAAATAAATTTTTTAAGAAAATGATGTTTCTATAATTTTAACTAATTTTAATAAGTCTGATCTTCGAACCCGAACACGGACCCATTTTTTTAGAAGGAGGGTTCTCGTCCCTGGTTATAACTGTTATATAATCGAACAGATTTTATTATTTTACATTACACTAACTTTATATTTACCTTACGGATCATTTCTTTCTGTTTATATAATATTAATTTAATAGTTTGATTGATTGTTATTACTAAATTGTATTTTGCAAAGTATATATATAGACATAAATTTATTAGATTTAGATAGTAGTATTTTAAAATAAATAAATTCAAAATAAAAAAATTTTGTTTTATATCTCCGTTGTTTTTTACTATAAATTCCAACTTATTAGCAATAACCAAATCTATAATATAAACTCCGCTAAGTGGTATATTTTAGTTTTTTTCTTTTTATATTTATTTCTAAAAATCGTTTTTAACTATTGTAAAAAACAATCGCTTAAAAATCGGAAACATTTGTTTTTGATTTGTTTACTTGAAAAAAAGAAGTGATTGAAACAATTTTCCAATCATATTAATATAAATCTAGACCTGCCATTCACCATTAAAATACATTTAAAAAGTGTAAAAACATTATAGTCCGCCATTGAAAGATATATAGACGAAATGCGGAATAGGTATATAGGCTGATGTGAAAAATGGTTATAGAAATGAACTTTCAATAGCGTCTACTAACAGTCAATGACACTTATAACACCTAATTTTAATGTACGTAACACCTTTAATAAATAAATCGTTAGTCTGTCAGTGATTGCGATTCTCTGTGTAAAGAGATCGCCAAATTTCCTTTATTAGTAATTGACATATAGAAAATAAAACAATTTTAAATACACAATATATTTGAGCAATGCACACCGCAAATTCATATTTGTTTTCATCGAGAAACTTATTTCTGCCATGGATATTTTTTTTGCAAGGATGTACCAAATTTTCACTATAAATTCTTCTGCCCTGTATTTTTTTTTTGAAATTTTAAGAATACTTTATCATTGCCCAACGCTGTGATAAACTAGTGAGATAAAAAGATAGTTGGTGAAGGAAATAGCATTTTGAACTGGTTCGGAGTTATTTGGAGGCGTTATTTAATTTTTGCGAATATGTCTAAGCACGTACTCCTTAGGGTATGAAAGTTATTCCGTCGCGTCGGTTTAGCTATCATCTATCTTTTTACGTGTTGGTTCATGGGTTGTTGAAGCAACAATCCCTTCTAAGTCATTGCGTATAGTAGTGTTTATGACTGTTTCGGGTAGATATGCCCTTAGAATACATCCAAAATAGGGGGTCATAATGATAGGAGAATGTCGATTTCTATAGGCTCTTCCGAAGTTAAGCAAAGGCCTATTTTTTCGCTCGTAATTAATTGTCTCAAGTCATTCATAGCCGTTTTTGTTAAAATCTCTTATTACTTTCTCGTATAATTTTAATTCGAACTTCAAAAACTATACATATGCGCAGCCTATAATTTATAGAATATTTCACAAAATATTTACTTTGTAATAAAACAGATTATCCCTTTTTCAAAAAATAAACACACTTTATAATAATATTTATTTTTTTAAAAAAAATGTTATTAGCCGACATCGCGAAAAATATGGGAGCTAAGATAATTGTAGCCATCGACGTTGGAAGTAAAAATACGGACGATTTTACTAACTACGGGGATCATCTATCTGGATGGTGGCTACTCTGGAGAAAATACTTTTTTCCTTGGGGAGGAGCCTTTAAAGTTTGTTTTTTTAAAGAAATTTTCGTTTTATTTTATTTATAAAATGGTTAAGGTTCCTGACATGAACGAAGTTCAATCCCGGTTAGCATACGTTTCCTGTAACAAAACCATGCAAGACATCAAGCAAAACAAAATGTGCGAATATTTTAGACCCCCGATCGATAAATTTAAAACGCTTCAATTCTATTCTTTCGACGAAATATACGTTACTATTTTTAAAATATATATTTCAAATCATTTTATTTATTTTAAAATAGGATATATACACTAAATAATTTAAAAAAATCTATATTTAAAAAAAACAAATAACCATATATTAAAAATGAATTTAAAAAATCATAAACGGCCATGGTTGAAGACTGGCCACCACTCTTTAACTTTTTATTTATTTGATCGATTTCTCTCAAAATTGGTAAAAATGTGTATATTTTATGTTATGTATCTTACCTAAGTTCATTTATTGAATAAAGCAATCCAATAAAAATACATTTCAAATAAACAACCTCTTTCTGGAAAAATCACGTTGCACATTTTTTTGTTTTGTGAAAAATTTAGTAATTTAAATTACTGACATTTTATATAAATATTATCTTTAGGCATTTACCATTATTCACACAAAAAATTAGACTAAAGGTTTTATTTAATAGACATATAAAGGTGATTAATAATAATAGACAGGTTAGTCTTGTCTGGCCAGGCATTGACTGGCCAAAATTCATATTCAAATGAAAAGAATATTTGGTGCAAATTCAAGTGATGAACAAATTAAAATGGCAATTGATGATATAATCATTAATAAAAGATCAACATTATAAACAGCTACTAAATATAATATTCCAAGAACAACATTAAGAAGAGCAATGAATAAATATAAAGAGACTTTGCAATATTCTCATATGGGATAGCAATCAAATAGGTTAATATTCACCAGAGCTCAGGAGGACGTTTTAAAAGATTATATAATACAGGCTAGCAAATCTCTCATGGGTTTTAGCATAAAACAGGCATATTTTTTTTAAAGAATTTAATTATATATTAAATATTACATAAGAATATTAGCTCATGATCTAACAAAAAAATATGAGTTAAAATTTCCTGAAAGTTGAACCCGTGATGGAATGGCTGGCATGGATTGGTTCAAAGGATTCAAACATAGACATCCTACATTATCCTTAAGAACTCCTGAAGCAACAAGTTTGGCTAGAGCTAGAGGCTTTAATCCCCACAGTGTCAAAAAATTTTTTGGTAATTTAAAATCTCTAATGGATGAATATAAATTTGAACCACAAGACATATGGAACATGGATTAGACAGGAGTAACCACTGTCCAAGATCCTGGTAAAGTTATTGCAGAGAAGGGCATGAAACAGGTATGATTTTTAACCTCAGGTGAAAGAGGATTCTTAGTGACCATTGCTATAGCTATAAATGCAATTGGATATAGCACTCCTTCTATGTTACTATTTCCTAGAATCCGATACAAAGATTGGTTTATCAGAGATGGCCCTATAGGTTTTTATATACATTTATTATTTATATTTTACTTCATTATGGTTGTATAGGTGCTGGAAATGGATTAGGGTGGATGCAGAAAAATGAATTCCTGATATATTTAACTCATTTTTGCAAACTAACAAAAGCATCCAAAACAAATAAAAATTTATTAATATTAGACAATCATTCTTCACATTGCTCACTGAGATCAATAGATTTTTGCGAATAATTATGCTCACCATATCACCACACTGCTCCCACAAGCTACAATCACTTGATAAATCAATCTTTGGCCCAATTAAATTTTTTTATAAAAACAGGATTGACAGTTGGATGAGAAACCATATAGGCAAATCATTTACTATATATGACATACCATCAATTATTAAAATGGAGCTTCCTAACTACAACCACCAAAAATATTCAGAATGGATTTTTAGCCTGTGAGATATATCAGATAGTTATTTAATATCTAATGATGATAATATGTCAGAATTATCCAATATTCCTTTTTCAGTGAGAAAATTACCCTATTATGATCCTAAAAATGATTCAATAAATTCCACTCCTAGTCTTATTCCTACTTTTAATGATGAGTTATATAACTTAACATCATGTAACTAGTCCAATAATAATTTTAATTCACAATTTATTCTACCATATCCAATTTTATATATTAATAATATTATCAAAATAGACAACAGGAAAAAGAAATCAGAAATTTTGACCTCATCACCATATAAAAAACATAAATTAACAAATATTAAAAAAAAAATAAAAATAAAAATCTAAAGAAAACTCAAGATGAGTGGCTTTGCATAATATATAGGAAGGCATCCTTTGAACCAATCCATCCCAGCCATTCCATCACGGGTCCAACTTTCAGGAAATTTTAACTCATATTTTCTTGCTAGATCATGAGTTAATATTCTTATATAATATTTAATATATAATTAAATTCTTTAAAATATAAATTATGCCTGTTTTATGCTAAAACCCATGAGAGATTTGCAAGCCTGTATAATATAATCTTTTAAAACGTCCTCCTGAGCTCTGGTCAATAATAACCTATTTGATTGCCATCCCATATGAGGATATTGCAAAGTCTCTTTATATTTATTCATTGCTCTCTTAATGTTGTTCTTGGAATATTATATTTAGTAGCTGTTGATAATGTAGATTTTTTATTAATGATTATATCATCAATTGCCATTTTAATTTGTTCATCACTTGAATTTGCACCAAATATTCTTTTCATTTGAATATGAATTTTGGCCAGTCAATGCCTGGACAGACAAGACTCACCTGTCATTATTAATCACCTTTATATGTCTATTAAATAAAACTTTTAAAGTCTAATTTTTTGTGTAAATAATGATAAATGCCTAAAGATAATATTTATATAAAATGTAGTCACAAAACAAAAAAATGTGTAACGTGTTTTTTCGAGAAAGAGGTATTAAAAAGTGTGTAATTGAAATATTTTTTTATTGGATTGCTCTATTCAATAAATGAACTTAGGTAAGGTACATAACATAAATATACACATTTTGACCATTTTTGAGGGAAATCGATAAAATAGATAAAAAGTTAAAGGGTGGTGGCCAGTCTTCAACCATGGCCGTTTATGGCACATTTCCCCTATATGTATAAAAAAAACTAAGAAAAAAATATATTAAAAAAAGGGTACAAATTACCCTAGAGAAGAGTGATGCTTAAAAAATTGGACCTGAAAATTTCCAGGGAAATCTGCTGACGAAGGTAAAATCCTTCATTGGGGTCCCCTGAGATCTGTCCCATTTATTTCCTATGCTTTTAATGAAATTGAGGGCATCACTTTCAAGCATGCCTAGGGTATTGGTAACGATCGGCATGAACACGGTGTTGGTAAGGCCAGCATATTTGTTTTTCTTTAGGATTTCAGCCTTTTCAATGGTAGAAAATGAGAGTTTGATTTTTCTACAAAATCGACACATGTATAGTCTCAAGCCAGCGGGAGACCATTAGTCCGGGGAACGAGGGATATCCCATCGAGACCTTTTACATTTTTTTAAAAACAAATATAAATCCTTAGGCTTGTATCCTAGGTTGGCTTAATTTGAACACTTAATTGCTTTTTTTATAGGCTTAAAAGTTTTTGAACGAGGACACCCTATTTTGGATTGTTTTAAGTATTCTTGGTGGCATTGTTATTTTTCTTATTTTATTTTTTTCTTTCTTTTTTTAAAAAAGTTTTTTTTTTATTTTGCTCTTTTGGCTATTTAATCGATACTAAATATCCGGCTAATTAGACGATACTAAATAGCCGACTAAAAAAACTGAATATTCAAAAGAACTTATAAAATTTAGAATAAAAATTATTTTAAATTTAAAGATATTTAATTTTTTTTTATGTTCGAGCTTCTGTTTTTTTTAAACATTTAATTTGATATTTTATATATAATTTATTATTTATGTCTTGAAATCAAATCAAAATAATATGTTCCATTCATCTCTTATTTTGTTATATACTATATAAATATGGAATCTCAATCTATCCTCTCTTTTAGTAATATACTGAAGAACCACAGTGAAAGAAACATTCTTGCTGAGTTTTGTTCATTATTTTTGAAATATAAATAAAATCATTCTAATATTTAGCAACATTTATGGTTGTAAAAATAATAAAGTTATGATCATTTTTCGATATAATCTCTTAAAATTAACTCTTATCATTAGTGAAATAAAATTTGTATCTATTCTTTCTTTTTTTGAATTCAGAAAACCGGTTATCAATATGGTATAGAAGCCTTTGTCGATTGGAAAAACAACGCAACTTTTAGCGATATATTTAAAAGGGAACGGGGTAGTAGGAGATATCCCAATGTTAAAGTATAAATAATCAGTTTATTTTTTTATCAACCCACCTGATATGCATCCTTATTTATTTTTTAAAATATTAGTGCTAAATTATTTTTCAATAAGTTTGATATATTTTTATAGAAGTTAAGGGGCTTTGTCGCCTGGTCTATTTTTTTAAAATAGAAAACTAAATATGCTTAAATATTGAATTTCCGGTCAGATGTATTATGATCCGATTTTAATGTACGCAATTTATCGATTTCAAAAATGATTATTTTTAAAAGAATGTTTCTCCGACATTTACGGATTTAGTGGAAATGATTTCTAAAATTCGAAGACCGCAGCAATTTAAACAAACCTCCGAGTACCCTGGTAAAAATTTTTGGTATTTATTAATAACATTTAACGCTGACAAAATAAATTATCGGTTACGCTTTGTCTACCCGGGCAATTTAAAAAAGCGTGAGTACGCGATTTTTATTCGAAAAGTTTTTGGTATTTATTAATAACATTTAACGCTGACAAAATAAATTATCGGTTACGCTTTGTCTTCGCGGGCAATTTAAAAAAGCGTGAGTACGAGATTTTTATTCGCGCGATTTATTTTCGAGCAAAATGGTGTCTATAATTTTGCTTTAATAAAATGCGTTTTAAATTTAATTACATTTTCATTTTTTTTTTAATTTCTACTAATCAAATTTTTATCATGAAGATAGTAAAATAGATTTTTTTTTTTTAAATTACGTTTTTTCAAATTTAGGTTATATTTATTATTGGATTCCCACAAAGATTAATTTACTTAAAAATGAAAGAGTAGGAGTGAATAAAATATATAAGAGAATTAGGAGAGTTGTATTTTTTAAAGAAATCAATAAAGATTCTGTTAATTTTTATGGATATTGTAGGATGGAAAAGGAAACTTTTTACTATATTTTCAACTTAATTAAACTAAAAGTACATAATATTATCTGTGAAAATGCATTCTAAATAAGTGTAAGCATAGAAGAGAGATTGCTAATTATCTTAAGGCATTTTAACGCAAAATAAAATAATTTATACTAATAAAAAGATTTTTAGCTACTGGAACTATAAGCATATACCTATAATTTCAGAGTATTCAGAAGTGCAATTTCTAAAATAGTGCTAGAAATTTGTGAATATATCTGGAAATTTGCAAAATAAAATAAATTTACCTTCTTTATTTGGAAATTATAATAAAAAATTAGGATATCCACATAATATTTTTTTTAATATTTCGTTTCTGTAAATTATCCATTGAAGAGATATCTTCTTTAAAACCTTTAATAAAATTTATCATTTCTTCCTCTTTCATATTTTTTTAAAAATTATATTAAAAAACAGCACTTAAAAGTATTTTCAGTTCTAAAATTTTTTTTATCGTATATTTTATTATGTTTCCTTTCCTTAGGAATTTGTATAGTGCGACTAAGCTAAAATATGTTACTTTATCAGTGCCTACACTATTTTCTTTACTTAAATCTTATTAATAATGACTAGAATTCGATAACAATAAATTCTAATTTAATTGAAATGAGCAATGGTACATTTATATTATACCATTAATTTTGCTGCATTTCCATATTCAATTTTTTACAATATTTGTCTAGTCTGTAAAATTTATTCAAACTTCTTCTTCGAAGCATTCTCGCTCTGACTTAAATTAAGATTAGATTTACAGGATATCATTGGTAGGCTTTTATATTTTGATTTAGCCTCTAATACTATTAATTAGTGTTGCTAAACGACTCGGTTTGAGTCGATTTTTTAAAACGGCTAACTCAATATTTTAGCCAGAAAAATATTGTTTAAGCCTTGAGATTTCGAAAATATATATCTAGACCTTTGTTCCATCTACGAGCAAAATCTTCAGGCTTGCTAAATATTTTTCTAGATGAAATACTGAGTCAGCCGTTATTAAAAATAGCTCAAAACGAGCCGTTTAACAACACTACTATAATATAAATAATCAGTATCAAATTGTTAATATAACCTGACATATCGTTTATAGCTATTTCTTCAAGCTCTTTTTTCTCTTATAAGTTTATGTCTATCATTATTGTTTTATATCTTCAATATCAAATTTGCCTGAAATTAAATATATTAGGAATAAAATGATAGTTAAAGTTTATAAATTTGATTAAATAAATTTTATAACATTAATTTACCCGTCAGATAATTTTTTTTTAAATTTAAAAATGCTTTCTTAAAATTACGAATTCGTAAAAATGCAATAAATGGATTTTGGCGAAAACGCAATTTTTTAATATGCGGATATTTTGTAAGACACTCACGTCTGTTTATTTTGTAATTCAAATTTTGCGTAAATAAAATGCGGGAATATGCGAATTTTAAATTGCTCGAGAAGACGTAGCTTTAGGAATGTGCAAAAAAATGTATTAAGATACGCGTATATTCGCTACATTTTAGATCTTCTAAAGAGTCAATTTTCATTCAAATATAAAGTATGTTAAATACTGAATTCTCTATTGGTCTCTTTCCTGGAGGCATTAATTTATGAATAAAATTCATATTTTTTTCTGGTTCATTACAAATAGTTTCAACAAATTATATAAACCAATATCTAATTAGAAATTTTTTCATATTCAGAACATCGCGATTTTTACGACGAATTGAATATGCTTATCGAAAACGATGATCTCATTAATTTCCCTCACGAGGTATAAAGATTTTTTATAAATTTGTTTTTTTGTTTCTATCTTAGTTATTAATTTGCCTTTTTTAAATACGTTAAAATTTTATTCATAAATAGTTAATGCAAGTATTTTTCTTTCTTTTTTATTAACATTTTTTTTAAAGATCAGAATGTCTCTTATTCCTAGCCTAAAAATATTTGATTTTAGATATTTACATAGATATATAAATAAATGGACAATATTATACTGTATAAATTTATTAACTCTTTAGAGTAGAATATTTCCTAGAATCCCGCAAGTAGGCCCTGAACTACGGCTGGCGCTAATTTTCTATAAAAAAAATTAAATTCTTAAAAATAAAATAGAAAATCATATTTTCGCTTCTAATATTTTATGATCAAATGGTAAATTTAGATACATGATTTTTATTTATAAAAATTTTTTGACCTAGCTCAGAGCGTAAGGATATAAATATTCTGGATAGACCGAGCCTAAAATTTTTTAGCCGGGCTCGAGTCAACAAAAAAAAAGAATTTTTGAAATCTAATCATACTCCAAATCATTTTTGATACTTGGTTGCCCGGGTCATTAAAATAATCTTTTTGCAAATTATGAATATTTATGTCGGTCTGACTTTGATTAAACTTAATAAATTGCCTACGAAACAAATTAGATAAGCGACGAGAACAATTCTCTAACCAACCTTTCCACTTCATCGTTCCCCGAGGAATGCGCCCATATTACCAATCAGGAATTTGATTATGATTTAGAAGAGGTAGAAGGTGACTTAGAAGGAGTGGCGGGTGACGACGATACCGAGATGGATATCGACCCTCACAATTCGAGCCTTATCCCGACCGAAGACAAGTCAGGCGCGTTTCCCCTTCAACCCAAGGATAAATCGAAAGTTAACAGAATCAAAAGTAATTACGAGATGCAAACCAATGGCCCCAAAAATAAAAAATATAAGGTGGCAGACGATTGGGGAAAATCATCTCTGCGAAGTTTCCACAACAAACGGAAACGTTTATCGTCCAGTGTTTAGCGAAAAAAAATAAACATAATTAAAACAAGTCAAAATAAATAAGTATATCAAATATTCCTGCGATTTAGCTTGCTTGGTCTTCCTTATTCTCAATTTTTGTTAAACCTTCTTCCAGATGAGGACCAAATTATCTAAATACGCTTTCTAATTTCTACGTTTGTTACCTATTTTTAAAAAATTATATATTATATAAACCGATGCGCTTTAAACATGTGTTATTTACCCTGTTATTTATTTTTTAAAAAAGAGAACTCATTGTTATATACAAACATCCCCTCCTTGATTAATGATTTATTGTCGCGAAAATATTTTGGGGTAATTTTAATTAGCTTATTTAATAAATACAATTGCGCACAATTATTGTCGAAAATGACTTTAATTTAAAAAAGAAACAATGTGATATTTATTTATTCCCGCGAAAAGAAAAAATTATAATAAATATATTAGATCTATTATTTTATACAAGTAAATTATAATATCAAATAAATTATTTTGAAATGAATGGTTTGATAAAAATTTAACAACCTTTTTTAATACCATCCTAAGGCCTCATTTATAGTAAATTCGTTATGTTAAAGCGATGCGTTAAAAATTACAATAAATAGATATAATTTATAAATATGAAGCGTTATGATTATAACACCATGATAAAATTTGAAAAACATATGTTGCGATAATAGAAAATATGCGACACGATTATAAAAATAATAGCCAAATCGATAAAAGTGTATATGATATTTTCAAAATATTATGTAAAATAATTATCTCTATTTATCAGCATTATCTATTAATTATTGCTGTGATCAAGATAGCGTTGAATAACGCAATGCTTGTACATAGCGCGTTTACTATAGATTAGGACCTATGGTTAAAAGCGCACAAGATTCTGGTTCTTAATTTGACGCGAATCCTAGATTCTCAATTCTTGTTAATAAGCAATGGAAAAATTTAAATAATAACCACAATCCCCCCCCCTACCTAAAATGAACCAAGCAACATTTTGATTGTTGATAGAACTTGCTCCTAGAAATTTTAAAAAAGGGGTTCCAGTTCTAAAATTTGTCCCTAACTCTTATTTATAAGTGTTAATATAATATTTAATTTAACCATATTACAACTAAATTTCAAAATAATATTTATAATATCAATTATAATTTTTTCTTAAATTATCGGAATCAAGCATGAATAAAAAAAACCCCTTATTGAACTCTTTTTATAACAACACTTTGTATTTTATTAATTTGTAACTTAAAAAAATATCATAAACAAAAAAATTCTGGAAATTTGCATCAAGACTCGCAGATGGAATTGTGTATCAATTCAGCTTAATAAATATTTATAATCATAAATTAAGGCATATATAATACCCTTAGAAGATTTTATTTATGAGATTATTAATATATAAAAATAATAATTAATTATGCCAATATATGATATATTTTCTTATATAAAAAAAATCTAACTCATAAATCCAAATAATAATTTTAAAAAATAATAATTATGAATTAAATTCGGAATTGAAATTGATATATAGGGTTTCTTAATTTATAAAGAGGAAAAATTATGTAAAATCATTAATGAAAAAAACATTTTATAAAAAAATAAAGGCTATTAATGAATTGGAAATGTTACAGAATGAGTTAAATATAGGAGATCATCCTAAATTGCTCTAAGCCCTTGCCAGATATAGTATTAAATACTTAATAGAATTTATAAAAAATGCGGAATGTTTATACATAAAATTTAAACAAAGGAATCCAATGAGTAAATGACTAAGTCCGATAAGATAGGAATTATGCATATGAGTATGTATGACTATAATTAAAAATTCATATTTCTTTTAAATATAGCCGCGTTTCTCTTATATTACAGGTACGATAATAATAAAAAATATATAATAAATACTGTTTTATAAAAATTTTCTCTTTTTTTTGGTTGTTTGGTAAGTTATATTAAATAAAATCGATTGCTTTAGTCTTCTTCTTGATTGGCTATACCTGCAGAAAATAGAATTAAAATTTATTATATATATAGCATTTAAATATGATTTTACCATATTTTTGTCTCATGCCATCCCATTTTGCTTTCCTTTCGACTTGCCTTTAAATTTTTTTTTGAAAAATAATATGCTATAAGTAAACATTGCAAACATTTGACATTAAAATATGTAAAATTAAGAAAAGTAAAGGTAAATATAACAATAAATTGATATCACATGCAGGTGTGTCACCGTCTAAAAAAGTATTAATTTAACCTTGCGATGTTAATTTGAGTTGAAGAAACAAGAGGGGTATTTAATTATATTGAGAAAATTATTTTACGAGCTTGTCACATAATGCCTAGGCAATATTATTTTAATCAGACTTATATATAATTTAGATAATATAATGCCTATAAAAGAAATTATTTTTATTTTAAATCGCGAATATCTAAATAAAATTATATCTGATTTGCTTATTAAAAATCCAATTCAATTATTCATTATGATAATCATCCTTGGTAGAAATACCCTAATTTTAACAAAATATTTAGGAATTCTGAGAAAAAAAAGGATTTTAAATTTTCAGATATATATAGGGGTATTTTTGTCAGGCCTTCATTCGTAATAGGGGTCATTGCCTAGAAAAATACGATAAATTAATAGGTAAAAAAAATAGACGAGTTTCCATAAAACGAAAATATATGACAATTGATATTACTTTTATTGATACATATTGTTTTAAAGTTCAATAGCAAAATTACTTAGAATCCCAGTTAAATTTGCAATTTAAAGCTGAATTCCTACTGGATGCAATGCGATTTTACAGCTGATCGAGTTTGTAATTTTTTATTAATGAGATCAATATTTCTTTATTCCTTAATAATTTTAGATTATATGTTTTTTTAAATTTAAAATAAAAATGATAAGGAAAAAATGTCTTATTAAAAGATTTTTTTACAAACTCGATCAGCTGTTAAATCACGTCCTCCTATGAATTCAGTTTAACGATATTTTAAAAATAAATATATCAATATTTATATTAAAGATCTGCAAAACCTTAGCCATTAAGGAAACTTACTAATTAATTTTAGTGTAAAAAATGTCTATTTACTTCTTATACTTATTTGAATGACGACAAACGTGACCAGTTACTATTCAAGCTACTTTTTTAAAATATGTTAAATAATCTATATATCTTATTTATTATCTTTGATTTTCCAGATTTAAAATTACTTTTATTAAATACTCATACGTAAAGAACTCACCTAAAACGTTTGTTTAGTCTAGGGTAAATTTATACGTTAAATTTGCCTTATTATTCAATACATGTAATTTTTATATATTTTATTTTATATTACTTTCCTAGAGGAGACAATGAAAATGTAATTTTTGTCAAAAAAAGGCATTTTATCTTTAAATTAAATAAATTGTATTATTTAATACATTATATTATATTAATATTTGATTTGATTTAGCGTAAATAAAATATTTTATATATTTAATAAAATCATTAAAACAAGAATTGAGAGAAAAGTGAAAATATTTTTTTTCGAATAGGTTTAATGGCGCCTTTGGTTCGGACCAAAGGCCGGACCGTGATCTTCAGTCTAAAATTATTTGAAAACAAAACTAGCACATAGGGAAGGGGAAGCGAAAGGTTCATTAAGCTCAAATTTTAATGAAAACTAAATATTATATTGTGTTATTTATACAACAATGTATATTTTTATTTATATCCGTTTTTTCCCAATACAAACAATTAATTATATGGTAAATCTTCTTCAGTTCGATTATTTCTTTATTAAAATTGTGTTTTCGTTTATTGTCCTTTAATAAAAATTTTATATAATAAAAAATACTGATGGGCCATATAAATTATTTGTATATAAGGTAAAAATTAGCTAATTACTTTTAAAATATAACTGCAACTAGTCAAAAAATAGTTTCAACGCTACTTTTCGCGTAGTCGATATTTATATTTCAAAATCAACCCCCCTACCCCTAAGCTAAAAAAAAAGAAGCATAGTTTAAGTGATTGCCGATATAAAGAATATAAATCGGTTATAATTTCCTCAAAAGAGGATTTTTGAAGATTAGCTAAAATTATTGTTTTTATAATGGAAGCAAGCATAAAACCTTTGTGATCATTATGAGTCGGATATTTTATTAATTAAAAGGATATTCGATTCCGAAAATTACTGTATTTAAAAAAAAGCAACTGCCTTTTAAAACACTCATTTAAAATTAAATATTACATCAATTTTTTTATATAGTATTTTTAAAGGAAAATCACTGAAAAGATTCTTCTTTTTTTTAAGTAACAGAAAAATAAAAGCCAATAAATAATAATCGTAAATACCTTGTTTAAACATTACAACAATAAAAACGAAGCTAATCTCTATTTAACTAATAACTATAATATCGCTTTATGACTAATTTTTGCTTTCAGATCTTGGTATACATAAAAAAATGTTTAATTATTCTACTATGACCAGCCAATAATTATGTTATATTAAACGTATCTATGAAAGATTACGAACATTTATCTATTTTTTAAAAATTTTTAAAGTTAAGGAATCATTTTAAAATAATTTTTCAATTTTCCTAACCAGATTTTTTTTGGAAGAATATCATATTTGTGCTTTTCATTAACACTAGTGTTGTTAAACGGCTCCGATTTTTATAAACGACTTACTCAATGTTTTATCCAGAAAAACATTACGCAAGTCTTAAGATTTTGCTCATAGATGTCACACAGACTTGGAATAATATTGAATTCGCCGTTTTTAAAAATCGGTACAAATCGAGCCATTTAACAACACTAATTAACACATCTAAAATATTTTCTAGCTTCGTTTTTAAGCTTGAATTATGTTCTAATAAGGGGTTTGAAGAAAACGGTACACGAGCAATCCCAAATGAATAGATTAATTATAGCTGAAATCACATCTTCTATTTTAAAATGTGAATCTTTTTCTCAAAATAAATTTGAAGGTTAATTTTTTTTTTGTAACTTGAAGATATTTTTTTTTTTAAAAAAAGTCATAAAATAAAATACGAATAAATGCAAATTGATTATTTTTAAAATTATAAAAATATGAATTCTGGTTAAAAAAAAAATATCACGGCAAATTTATTGGAAAGCAATTTATATAAATAAATAATTGTTTGGCATAACATCTTGATGAGAACAAATATATATTATATTATAGATATAGGTAATATTAAAATTTTTTTTACTTTTCTTGATGTATGGCTTCCCTTTCTTCCTTCTCTCGCTTCTGCTTATCCTCTAATCGTTGCCATCTTATAGTTGTTAATTTATTTATAATTATAAATGTTTTTTATTTTTGGCCAAAAAAATATGGTAGGATTTCAATTTTGATGTTCGGTTTCTGCATTTCTTAAAATACTTATAAATTTCTGGTCCCAAAAAAAAAATCTATATTCTTCAGTTCTCAAATTATTAGTCAGTGAGATATGTTAATTAGGAAGTCATACATCGACTGACAAGATTCGTACTATGAAAATTTTAGTTATAATTTTTTGGTATAAACTTGGTGAGGTTTAGGGTTTAAAAAGTTGTAATAGTCCAGACGGAATTCCAAAAACCGAAATGGATAAAGTTTTCGGCTGGGTTCGCAGTTAAAATTCACTTCATTATTAAATGTGTTTTTTCCGGCAATGTGTTATTTTTTCAACTAGAGCGTTTTATTAAATTTAAAATTTTAATTTTACCGGAAATGTTTTCTATCATGTTTGGAATACCTACCCTATAAATATGAGACAACTTCGCTAAGAACATTTGAACTTAATATAATTTATATAAGTTTTTGCATGAATTTTTTATATACATTATAAATGACTCAAAGGTTAAGGGCAAAATTTTATAAAATTCATAAGATAAGTGTTCAAAACATGCTGGAATATATTTCCGATAATCCGATATTTAAATTAAAAAAGGCGTTCAAAAAATGATTTAAAGTTGAAAAAATAACACATTGACGCTAACACATATATATGAGAAGCATGCAGAAATAACTAACAGTTCTAGGTACGGTTCGGATTAGAAAAAAGATTCATTTACGAACCCGGCCTGAATTTTTTATTATTTTTGATCATTTTCGGCCCGGAATTTTTAAAAATTCTGACACATATTTTGTAATCTCAATTTTTTTTTCCCTAATCAAACAACACTGATAAAGAAATTGAAGTCAAGTGTATCAAAAAAATATTGATTGATAATATGTAGAAGCGATAAAATCTTAACAAATCTAAACAAAGCAAGTTAACAAGAAAGAACTGATAAAATTAATATCCCTCCCTCTCATTATTAGTGTTGTTAATAAGCCCGATTCGGGTCGATTTTCAAAAAGGCCCAATTAAGATTATAGCTAAAATAATATTATGCAATCATCGAGATTTGGCAAATAAATGTCAAAGCATTTTACCCGGATGTCAGCAAAATCTTATAATCTTAAAAGGGCCATTTTTTATAATCGAACGGAGGGCTTTTTAACAACACTACTCATTTATATTCCTAATGCCAATATAAATAATCAAATGGAAACACATTTCATTTCTTAACTTTTTTTTAAAAAAAATGATTATTATAACTTATAATTATACGAATTTTGAAATATATAATATAATTAATTATAAAAATTTTTTTAACTGTCTTTGACGTCTCCTTCTGTTGCGGATCCAACACCAACAACAACAGGACAAGAAGGATAATAATAAAAGAACCAGTCCAATGCCAATCAAAATCACGATGATGAGTAAATTTACTGGGAAAAAAAATTCAAGAAATGTTTATTTCATTTTTTTTACCTCCCCCCCCCTGATTTATCCATTTTTATGTATCTCGTAATAACTTTAACAAATATTATATTTTTTTTTATTCTTAACGTGTTATTGTCAGTATTTTTTGACTTAAAAATGATTTTCTATAAGGTTTTTCGTCCATATTCTATTCAGCTTCCTTCTTAATTCTTTATTCTTCTTAAACGGATTAAGGCTTATATTTACCTTTAAAATGAATAAAAAATTAAATTCCATATTATATTTAAGATCTAGTTCTTTCTCCCTCAAATCCTCCGAATATTTTTTTATTATTAAATACATAATTGAGAGGTGTCCTAGCAAAATATAAATCGCACAATATTTTATTGCTTGTAGCTCGATTCAAACTACATGATAAATCACGCGATCAAGAAAACTAATTTAAATATTTCTTTTTTTTCCATAAATTTCTTTTAATGACATTAAATATTTTTTATGAAAAACAAATTGTTTCTTAATGTTTTTTTTGTCATATACTTCATATCATTCCTATAGCAACTTATTAATTTTGTTTAGTGTGCCATTAACTTGAAATGATTTATTAAATAGTTTTTTTCTTACCTAATTTCTATCAAAAAAATATTTATTTTTATTTATGGATATATATATTTTTTTGTAAAATAAATTGAAATAATCAATATTTAGTATATTAAGATTTAAAATTATAAAATATATAAGAAATTACAATAATATAAATATCAACAAATTGGCGCTAAATCGATTTATAAAATATAAATTTAATATATAAGTAAAAAATACTCATTGATAAATTAATAATAGTAAAAAAAAAATCGCAAATTGATTCAATGATTTATTTGACATATTGAATGAATGAATTTTTTGAAGATTATTATAATAGCGGGGTAAAGGAGGATGACTCCTTGCAATATATTAAATAGAAAAAAACATTATTTCGCAAAAAAACAGTTTTTTTAAATAAAGAACCCGAAATTTAAGTGGCGCATAATAATATAAAATATTTTTTAAAAAAATAGCATTATACAGTTAAACTTTTTTATTAAGCTGACCAACCCATAACTGCAGGTCAATTTATTCAAGTTTCACCGTAATTTTTAAAATGTGCAAAATTTGGCCAAAATTAAAATTAATGGAAGGAATTTTTCAAGAACCTCCCGACATTTAAAAAAAAATCATAGCTCCCTAATGCATATATAACGAATGAATGAATGCGTAAAAGGGCAAGAGATATATAAAAATAATAATAATAGCCTAAATGTATATGATATTCAATAAATGAAAAAACGATATCATTAAATTTATTACAATCTTAGTGTAATATCAATTTCCTTATCCTATAATTATAATATCATTAAAAAAAATTAATATAATAATTAGGCAGGTTTTGTCCTCAAATGGTAAATTTGTATAAAATTGAAGGTAAGCAGTTAAAAAAAATGATAATTTAATTATTCTTTATTTTTTTTTAATGTTTGCTTTTCTATATAAATTCAATTTTTATCACTTATACAATAAAAAAACACCTAAGTAACCAACCTATATTTTGGCAGACAAAATATCCAATAACTCACCAAAAATGCAAGATTGATAGAGGGAGGGTGGACAGGGTACAATTTCAGAATATATAATATCTTAAGAGGGAAATCTTGAAAAAAAAAACAATAAATTATATTTTTTAAATTTAAAAATATTTTTAAAAAATAAAATAAAAATAAAGTTGAATAACCCATGGAAAAATTGTCCCCGAATATCCTTCAACCCCTTCCCTCTCTTTTTTTAAAAATATCGATTTTCGACATTTTTTTTCCTCCATTTAATATTTTTCGACCTATCAAACAATTAAGCGATAAAGAGGATTGATTATTCATTTAGCAAAAATATAAAAAAATTATTATTATATACAATACAGAATATATCGTTGTTTGTTTGTGTAAGGGGTTCTTATTCCTGGGTAAGGAACCAACTGTGATAATTTAAAAAAAAAACGTATATTTGATATCATCAAAGATTTGAAATGAAACAATATGTTAATTCGATAAGATAGGAGGGAGGAAGTAAAGGCAGTTAGGTCTATTTCTAATTTTTGATTTCTTTTTGTCAAGTATTATATATGTATATATTATTTTTTTCTAGCAACAACACCACCCACAACAACAACACAGGCAACTGAAAAGAGCGGAAAGTAAGATGCACAAAATAACGACCGCGATGATTATGATAGTAGATAATGGAACTGTTGAGGGAGGGGAGGGAGGGGGATAAAACAAATAAATATTTTAAAAAAAGTATTATTAAATTTATTTATATATTATTATTTTGGCCAGATTCAATTGGAGTGCTTTCTTAAGCTCCAACCTCAGAATTATTTATGTGGGTTTAAAATTATAGTTATAGAAGCTACTAACCTACCTTCCTTATTTAGCGTTTATCCTAATTTTTAGTATTTTTGTAAAAAATCCAAAAATCATTCATTGTTATTGGTGTTATCAAACGGCTAAGTCAATATTTTATCTAGAAAAATATTACGCAATCCTGAAGATATCAAAAATTAGTGTTATTAAAAAGCCCTACTTCGGGTCGATTTTTTAAAAAAGGCCCGATGATTATAACCGAAATAATATTATTGTAAGTCTGGAGATTTTGCTCATAGATAGCAGAAAGGTTCGAACATATTTGTCAAATTTCGAGACTTGACATAAAATCATTTTGGCTTAAAATCTTTAATCGGGTCTTTTTAAAAAATCGACCCAAATCGGACTTTTTAACAATACTAGGATAAACGTTTGGATATCTATTCGAGAAATCTCGAGGCTTAGACATTATTTTTCTGGGTAAATCATTGAGTTAGGCTTTTTTAAAAAATCGGTTCAAATTGAGCAGTTAAACAACACTAGGCATTCCAATAATCCAAGCCAGGTAATAAATTGTTATTAATTAAAGCGTTATCATTAAAAAAAATCGAGAAATTCTTAAAAATAATTGCTCACTCTCTAAACAAAAGAATTAGCAACTCTATTCCTCTCCAGGATTGGGTAGAAATTAATTATTAGTATTAAATTACAAATTGCAATTACTCTTTTTGTAATCAGAAATGATAAAAATATAGATATAATGAATACAATATTACAGTGTAACAAAAGTAGGTTTTTAATTTATTTCTAATCTTATTCAATCAGTAAACAAATTGGGAAAAAAATGGAAAAAGTTTGTTAGTATGGGGAACGCGTCCCAATTTTTTCATCGTAGCTCCTCGTAACGCGTATGCGCATCTATTATGAAAATTGTTTATTTCTATTTCGCCTCCTTACTTTCAGCTAAGATAGTAAGACTGAATCTAAGGGTTAAAAATGATCTAAAATGTAAATATCTTATATTTCTAAAAAAATCCAAATAAAAAATATCCCGAAATTGTTATCCAATCTTGATGATTTTTCCGCCTTATATATTTTTATTTCAAACTACTAAACGCATATATAAAAAATATAGCCAATTTTAAAAAAAGAGCGGCGACAAGTTAGAAAAGACTCCCTACAATTAAAAAAGAATACTTTTAAAGTACAATTGTTACATTTAATCAGCATTAGAAAATACTTTTTCGCTTTGACACAATGTTATATAATTATAATCCAATCCAACATGGTTAAATAATGGTAATTTCAATATTGGTAGCGATAAAGAGAAGATTTACTTGCAAATTCCTAATCATTTTACCCATTTTAGTTAAGTATTTACAGTTTAGTAATTGTAATCAATTACAAAAATTAGGAGTAATTGCAATTTTTCATTTTTAAAATTAATTGCGCTGCCCAATCCTATCCTCTATTATATTTATATTTTATTTTATAATTTAAAAAAATAATTAATCCAATTCAACTTAAAATAAAGTTATAAAGATATTGACAATGAAAATTATAAAAAGAGAAGATGGAATCGTAATAGGCTTATGTTACATAGAGACAAACAATAGATACTAAATATAAAGTGTAAAATTGCGACAAAGATAAAAATTTGCATGTGTTTGTTCTGTTACTAATCTTAACTTCACGACTCATTTATAATCTTGTCTGAGTGGAGACATACGAGAAAAAAAAGGAAAATTGTTTTTCGAATTGAATATTTAGATAATTTTATTTATTATTATATTTACTTAAAACAAGGAAGAAAAAGATTAGGGGGAGAATTTTTTTAAGAAAAAAAAAAAAAATAAATCCTTTAAAAAAAACGATTTAAACGATAAATAGAACGATGAAAATTGTAACATTCAAAGGAGCTGTAAATTTACAGATTGTGTCGCGACTTGTGACATATCATTTCTTCAACCCTTTTCTCAATTTAATTAGATCTGTGAGCGATATAGATAAAATAAATAAATATGGAGTGTTTTAAAAATGGGGCCCCAGTTGCTCGTTGGGTAAAATGTAGCTATTGATATAAGAAGATAATTTATTCGAAACTAAACTAGGATATAGACAGCCAATATGGTAAAAATTGTTAATAAGGATATTTAATGAACAGGGCCTTCAAATATGGGAGATGGTATTTCATTAGGAATTCGGGGGGAGGGAGGGGGTACTCTCTTAATAAACATAGAAAGTCAGAATCCATTTTATAATTAAATTATTTAAGTCATCGGAGCTTTAGCATAGCGTAGGGAGGTCTAAAGGGTATTATAAAGCAAATTTGTAGTCCGCCGCCAAAGTCGATACTATGGAGAAGTTAAAATCAGGGCTTAGACCTAGAAAACTGATATTTTATTGAACTAGAACCCTTCAAGAATGTTTTAAAATTTTTCTTTACTCTTTTTTTTCTCTTTACTTTTAGTTTTATTTTTTTATTAAAATTTCTTTATTCTATTTCATTTTTTTTAAATTATAAAAATTTTAAACAACATTTTTAAATGTTAAAAACATTTTTAGTGGAATCGTTTTTTATATTAGTGATTTTATGTTAATTAAAATTTTTCTGAACACCAAACCCTAAACCCAAACCCTTTTTTTAGAAAGAGGGTTCACAGCCCTGGTTAAAATTTTAAAATGGGCTCTTATCAAAAATACATATTTTCTTTCACAGTATTGCATATTTTATAAATTTAAGTAAAAATATGATAAAATAAAGAGCCAAACCAACCAATCAAATATTCTTAAAATCATGGAGTCTTCTAATAAAGGGCTCTTTCAGATACTTAGAAGATACAGTTATTATATTGAAAATGGTAAGAGGAGAACTAGAAGTCAAGGGTTAAAATGAAGATAAGTTGTCCTACAATGAAATAAAATCACGTGATAAAACAATAAATAGGTGTGGATAGATATTTAGTTATGGGAGGAAAAGAGAAAAATGAGAACAAATTTTGAAGGAACTATCCAACTTGAGACTTCTAGCTATATGGATGAAGCGACAAAAATTGCGGCTTAACAATCATAAGGTTGATAGAAATTAGGTTGGTATGATTGGTCAAAACAGTTAATTTTAAACATAATCATATGCAGTGAATAAAAATAATAATTGAATGATATCAAAGTTACAATTCTTTCATTCATTAACTGAATAACGAAAATAATAATATGCAATAAAAATGGATGCAATTATATAGAACTACTAATATTACAATTTACAAAACACAACACACACAAAAAAATACACATTTAAAAATGATAATATCTTTATTATAAACACAAGGAAATTTTAAAATATACAAATACAGTATGTATATATATTAATTATTTTGAAGAAAAATAAAATACATATTAAGTATGCCAAAATTTTTCTGTTATATATACTTTTTAAGTGCCGAATTGTAATTAACATTGTTTCGTTTCTCTTTTCTTTATACAAGGATATAGGTTAGACAAAAAAAATTTAAGTAGTAAATAAAAATTTTTTTATCCCCCTTTTGTTTATTCATTTGTTCATTTATCTAGGTATCCGTGTTGACAAAATCGAAATATTTAAAATTAATAGTTTATACTTCCATAAAATTCTCCCCAAAAAAAAATTTCGAGTAAGTCTACATTTATTTTGCACAAACCATATCGCGATGTGACTATTCATAGAAATTGATGATACTAAAATTTAGCAAAATATACATGAAATCCCGCTTAACATAATGTGATAATTTTGATTAATAAGAAGGCCCTTCCGCGATTTTAGTTAAGGCTTTAAATAAAATAGGATGAGCATCTTGTCTTGAGTATATGCTGTGCGAGAATTCAATATAATTTTTTAAAAAAACAAGTGGACATGAATGAGTTTTAAAAATAATCTACACAATTTTAAGAGTTTTACGAGACATTTCGTCGCTTTTATAACGCCGGACGTCAAGAAAAGTTGGCTCAATTTAAAACCCGGAAGTAGGTAGGGAAAAGATATGGGGGGGGGTACCTGTATAGTCGAATTTGGGGTTGTACTATGATCAATAAATTTTCAATAACCTTGATGATCTTTGCTATTTATTTTATTTTTAATACCATATTTAATGAATTTAAATTGTAGATATAAGAGTTAAGTTAGTTATTAAAATCCTTATATAGGATCAGCATCGAATATGTCCGGGTGCCTGGTAAAAAATGTGATTCGACCCGATACCGATCGAAATTTGTACCCGGTACACCTATAGAGATAGAATAATTTAAAATATCATATCAAATATTAATTATATATTGGATTGAAAAAAATTATATATTAAAAAGGTATAAACTATTTTAAGAAACGTTTTAAATTCAAATATCGTATACAATTTGCCAAAAAAAATTCTATTTTGGCATAACACTTTACATTCTAAAAGGTTTATAACTGTATTAAAATTAATAAACATTTACTTTTTATAAGAGTTTTAATTTTTAATTTTTTTAATTAAATAAGGGGGGGGGGGGGTAGGAAATAACATGTAATTTTAAAAAATATAAACATTTTTTTTCTCGGTGAATAAAATATCGATCTAAAAAAATAAGGTATTTTATAAAAATAAGAAATATAAACGGGGAAAAAATGAAAATCAATAAAAAAAATAATATATATATACATTAATGGGAGGGAAAAGTGAGTAATGTAAGTTCATAAACGTAAATATTACATAATAACATGTTGTAAGCGGTATTTTTGTTAAATTAGCCAAAATAAATGTCATGTAAACCTAGAGATTTTGCTCATAGAGGATAGAAAGATTTGAACATCTGTTTGCAAAATCTCGAGGCTTACATAGCATTATTTTTGGTTAAAATTTTAATCGGTCGGGCTTTTTAACAACACTAGTTAAGTAGGGGTTTAAAGCGATAAAATATTGAAGAGAGGAAAAAAAAGAAGGTCGAGATAGATTTTAAATCATTTTGACTGACATTTCGAAGATTAAGCCGGTTAAATCTGAGAAAGACCCATTACAAGTATACAAGTCGTTTTAAAAAAATATTTATTGTTAAGAGCTGACGACGTGGAGGTAGAATAAATATTATTAGATATAGAAAAATTATTCGGTATTCGCATTTCAATCGAATTTTACGATTAAGAATAGATATATATACAATTATTCAATCTCAAATAATAATGAATTTATTAACATTTGTGATTTCGGATATAATATAATTTTCGCAAAAAAAATTTCCTGTAAATTTTTCTTTAATAAAATATTTGAAGTGAAAGAAACAATGTTATTGAAAAAAAATGATGGCTAAATTTTTGGGTTTTTTTTAAAAAATTAAATCATATTTTTAAATTTTCTCGTATGCCCCAATTTTTGTTATAATCTATATTATTGTCTTATATTTTTTTTTCTCTCTCAAAGAAATATTAAAACTCCGATTCTTACTCTCTTTGTTTAGGTTCAAAAAATTGGGCAAAATAATACCAATTAATCGTATATAACGAAGAAACTTAAAAACAATTAAGGTTAATTAATATATTATATACTTGAACAGGTGGCCCAATGCGCGTCCCTTAAATTGCATTCGCCAGCCAGGGTGGGGAATCCTTGCCTGTAAGGGTAAGGCCTACATATCCTATCCGAAGAACAGAAGTAACACTAATATATATTTTTTTATACATAAAATTTAGGAATTCTATGAAATATTCAGGGTGGGGAGTATAAAATCTAACCGTAACGACGGCTCAGATAAAAACGATTTATGATTCATATTCGATTGTAAGAAATAATTTCGGATCGGTTCGAATCTTTAAAAACTAAGTTCGAACATTTTGACATTCAAACTTATCATAAATAGGTTAAAAAGCACTTTTCCCTATAAAACATTATTGATTGTGGCCTAGAAGAGGGAATAAATATATTCAAGAACATGAGTGTTTAGCACCGTCAACTAGTAATGTACCAAAAATATCTAATCTAAAAATTTTTACTAATACTTATCAATCATTAAACTATTTATTAATAATCGTTAAAAGAGTTTGAATAACAAGAGGTTAAACCCGGTTCATGCACCCTTCTAGAGATTAGGTCCTATATTGGATTCATAAATAAAAATTACCTTAAAAAAAATAAGCTTAATCTTTGCCTATTCACTTCTTTTCTTTATGAAAATTCTATTTCTAAAAAAATGATTCAAAAAAATTAAATCTAATTCGGAAGTTTAGAAAATATTGCAGATTATTTTAAAAATTTGGACGATTTTATAATTAGTCATTTTCGCGGCGTCTCTATCATTCATTTAAAACGCGCGAAATTATATATGCAGGATTATTGAAGCTTTTACTCTTGCCTAACATACCAATGTGGCCATCTTATATCAGTGGTGGGGTAGGTTAAAATTTTATATAATAAAATATTGTGTATACTCTGGTTGAAGCCTTGACGCATTGATCACAGAATCCACTGTGTAAATTGCAATCTATTAAATAAAAAAATATATAAACATATAATATAATTTTTTTTCAAAAGAAAGCTAGAAGCTTATTTTCCCCAATGCATAATTGTTTAGGCCATCCATAAAAGTAAGTTTCGAAACTTTGATCACATATTTAATTTTTAATCAGCTGATACTAAAAAAATGCAGCTTTTCCTGCAGCGTCAAAAAATTAGCAAACACTGTCTAAAATATAGCAGAATATCGTTTTTCGCAATAGAGAAGGTCAATGGTCTTATCCCGATATATATTTTGATAAAATAACGGAGTTCAAAAAAAACATTATCTGGGAGCTACCATTCCAAAGTCGCCCTACCTAAGATTAGATGCCTTCGCGTGGTTCTATGTCATGGAAAAATCTACTTGCGTAACATTTTTATAGCTAATTAATTTTATTGCCAACCATTTATCGCTAATCCCCATCGCAAATACAGTTCAGCGAAATAATCGCTATAGTTTATTTTTTGGAGAGAAGATAATGAAGCACTTACTAGGATATATTATTATATGTGATAGTCTTTGGTAATAAAAATTTAGCGGAATTCTAAAAAAATTCGATAAAAAGTATTTCATCGCATTGACCTGATACGTTTCGCGTATTACTATATTAATCATTTCTTATTTTCTAAAATGACAACTAACATACGAAAAAAATAAGATATTTGATTCTCAAGATATTTATCAAATTCTACCCTCTTCAATTTTTTTCTTCTCTTATTAAATTTTTTTTTCATAATTATGACATCTGGATCATTAGAGGCTAATTGTTTAATTAATTATGAAAATAGGATAGATTCGCCTTTATTTCTTTGTCATAATATTCAATTATATAATACAATAAAACATAAATAAATTACACGCATTACCTGCATTCGCAGGTGCGATTCGCAGGGACGTATATAAAAAATTTTGTATACGTCGCCGCGAATTCGTGCTAACTGGAAGGGTTATAGTGCAGACAAATTGAGCGTTGGCGTCTTGCCGTGAGGCGGGATTTTCAATTTTACAAAAAATGGATTATTTAAGGAACAAACAAATAATGTTAACTTAAAAATTTAAAAAGGGGAAAAAAAAATAAGGGAGACGTTCGAAATATAATATTAAAATAAATTTATTATCCTAGGTATGTAATGAAACTTGATTCAACACCAACTCAGTTCTTTAGCTATACTCGCATGTAAAGGTTAAGTTTCACATACATTCATAGAATATTATTATGATTAATTGTCGATTTAAAATTTTAATAAAGTATTTTTAAAAAAAAATTATTCCGCGTTTTATTTAAATGCTTTCTAACGCTGCATTTTTGGTAAGAGCGGTTCGTTCAAGCGATGCAAAATTAATCGCTAGCGAAATCACAGCTGATTCGGCACAGTTATAATAATTTAATACACGTAAACAGCTAGCGCGATCTTTTCGTTCAGTATTTATAAATTGTTATAGCTTGCTTTTGCAGATTACGCAGCTATTAATATCGCATCGCTTGAGAAAATCGCGTTTACTATAAATGCAGCCTAACGCCAAATGGAAATGATACCATTTGAAATGTGTTATTCGAGTTTAAAACGCTTTACTTATTCTCTTATTAATTATACTATTAATAAGAGAATAAGTAAGATATTTTTTTTAACGAGTGTCTTGATCAATTAAATATTTATGATAAAAAAAAGATAATAATTATATGGGGAGTTTGCTTGCGTTTTAAAAGGAGTTCCTTTCAGTTATTATCCCATATATTTATTATAGTTTATCTTATATTTTAATTTTATATTTAAAAAAATTAACCTATATTTTACTTTTTTTTCCTATTATTAGAGAGAATAATTATCAATTAAAGTTTAATTTGTTTTAAATAGATATTTATTACGTAAATCTAGAGTAGTACCAGAGTGTTCCAGAGTTTGAGAGTCTAATAATGAAGATAGCAAATCAAAAATTGAGCGTTGCAAAATTTAGCTTACAATTGGATATTTTTTTATCGTCTGCTTGTTGCATTTAATAAAAATTATCCATATTTTAGGGTAATAGGTGTATAAAACATAATATATTTAATACACTGAATAAATTAGAATCGCATATTTAGTTATTTTTATGACTAACGATATGTTCAATTTTTCGAATGTTGGAGCGCTATGGTATGGACTTAGCTTAAGGTCAAAATTATAGGTGCTATTACTTTTTAAAGCTATTTTTTTTTTCAAAGTCAGACCTATGTTTCTTTGATGGGTTAAACTCAAAAAAATGCTATCTCACAAAAAATAAACTATTCGCACATCTAACTCGATGGTCAATCACGTTAATAGTAAACAAGATTCACTTTCATAGATGCGCAATATACAAAAGCAAGTAAATAATATATGGCTTAGCGAATGAGATCGGAAAATCTTGTTAGGAGGCGATCCGCTAAAATGAGACTTAAGTCTCGAGAAGGGAGCAGAATGCGAACGAGGTTTTTTTTAAAAAAAATACAACTCTTCCAAAAAATTTTTTTATAATTTCGTACCTGCTCAGCAAACAAACTTTTAAAATAATTTTTTTTTAAAAAAAGCAAACAAACAAAAAAATGTAAAGTAAAATGAATAGGAGGATTAACTAAATATTATATTTGTGCCAAAGTGATAAGATAGGAATATTTGTTTTAATAAAAAAAAAATTTGTAATTTAATCTTATGTTTAAATGCATTCATTTAAAAAGAGTTTATTTTTTTAAAAAAAAAACAACATTTAAATACCTTTGAATGCTCAAGGGATATAAAGAAAATGTGTTTGGGAATTATCAATTTTATTGCATAGTAAAATTAACTCAAGATCACAGATTAATTTAGTAAAATTAAATTTATGCGAAATCACACCTTTTGTAAGAGTCCAAATTTCTCACTTTTTAAAAGAGAGCTCAGCTCGTATAATTTGAATTTGAAAAAACAAATATTTATTAAGTGAGCTTAAAAGATTACGAAATATTTATTATTTAGTATATTTGCATAATATCTTACCTTTTTTTTAAAAAAAATAGGAAGAAATCGCTTCAAAATAAGTTTTATTTTTCGATATAATTTAAAGTGCTAAGAATTTACTTTCGAATCTACATAAAAATAATTATTTTTGTTAAATGAGGCAAAATATAGCAGGACATCTATAATTTTTTTTAAAATTTTTTAATTAAATCAATATAATGGAAATCGGATCAGATGGTAAAGGGGGGGGGGGAGTGAATAGATTCTCGATTCTCAATTTATAGCTAAAAGATAGCATAGCTTGTATAATATCACGATATTTATCTTCTAAATAACGCATCTTGGACATCGCCGTATTTAGCGCCTACTGTAAATGTAGACCTAAATCTTTAAAAAAATTTAAAGGATCTTTCGGTATTATATTAAATTACTAAAAATATTATTAAAATTTACGATGGAAATTTTTTTGATTTAATATGAAGGACTATTTCTGTAACATTTAAAAAATAAATAATTAAAGATAAGTTACATCGAAATGCCACATTTTCATTAATTATTTATTAATTATATATCTAATATTTTTAAATTTATTTTATAAATAATTTAATATATTATTAATATAATATTGTATATAAGTGAAAAAATAAAATGCGAAAAAATGTGAAACGCATTAAAATAAAAAATATCCTTGAAATTTAAAAAATTACATACATTATTAAGAAAAATGAAATCTTATAAATTCAAATTTTCTTAAAATTTATATTTTCTCGAATAATCTTTTCCGTATAAATATATAACATTGGGTTGTAAAACCATATCTGCCAAATATCGAATCGATGTTATAAAGGTTATAGTTCGACTACTGCACTGTAAAAAAATAAATAATATAAATAGTTCTGTTCAGGGTTTAAAATTAATCTCGTCAGAAAATGCCAATTATCATAAAAATGCTTTAAAATCACAATTTTTATCAAAGACTGCGTGTCCAATGCTGACTAAATGGGCTTCTATCTTATTATATTAATGTTTTTAAATGTTTGCACCCGACCTCCTAAACCACTCATCTTGACAGACAAAATATCTAAGCGTTTCGATGCCTTTTAAGTTTGCCCTTTTATGCTTTTTTTTAAAAAAAAAAAATTATTACCCGTCGGCTTAGAAATGAATTTTTTTTACAAAAATATAATTATTATGACTTCCATTTGTTGTCAATGTATAAATTATTATAAGTCAAATTTTTTGCCTATACTAAAAAAAATATTTTTTTATAATCCTCAATGAATAAAATTAGGGAAGCTATTTTAACAGGTAAAACATTTTTCGTCAAAAACCACGTACATACTTATTTTTTTTTAAAAAAAAGACATTTTAATTCTAAAAATATTTTTTTTATCACCATGAACGAATTCTATCCGAGTAATGAATGGAAATATTCAAAAATAATATTTAAAAAATAATAACCAAGTTAAAGTTAAAATTGGACCAATTAAAATCGAAGAAAATTTATGCGAGCTATAATCGAGAAAAGCCATTTCGGTCAAAAGGGGTCTTCCCATGCAGGACGTTATTTTAAAGATGGTAAAAAAAATAGACTGTCATTAAATCAAGTTTTCTACCATTTTAAATAAAAAAGAAACGTCTTCAGAAAAAGGTAAAAGGTTGGGTTATACCATTTCAGAATGGCATTTTAACGCTTGGTGCTCTTATAACATCATTCAAAATGTTTGAGTTAACTGATTCTATAGATAATCTCCATTATTTTTCTCTTAATTATTGCTAATTTGCTTTTTACTAAACGTAAATTGTCTCAAGGCTGAAAACGAATACTTTAATAGATCGATTCCATTTGATCGTGAAAAAGGCCACAAAATGGCGGATCACTTAAAAAGGGACGGTGGAGGGGGGGGGGTCGATTTAAAAAGTATATAAATAGATCCTTAAAAAAAGAATGAATATCTAATTTCCATTCCACTCCAGAATTAAAATAAATTATTTAGCCAACCCCGTAAGTCACGGTTTAAAAAAAAAATTAAAAATATTATATATATAATTTGTTAAATATAATTATTTTGTCGTTCGAAAAAAATGAGAAATCGTTAAATATTTTATAGAATTATTTATCAACCATAATTCAAATTTTAGAAATGTTTTAAAAAAAAAAAAGTGAATGAGGTGAACGCACTTCATTGGAGATGTATGTTATATAGTAGTAAAGAGTTAGTCAAAATGTCTCAAATTAATAATTATAGATTTTTTTTAAAACTCCGTAGTAATTCCATATCAAGGGGATTTTCAGCCGACTTCTTTCCATTTTTATTCAAAAATTGTATGATGGTTAACATTAGTTTAATTATAACCCAGAGAGGAATTTAGTAGTTCTTTTAGCGATTCATATTTCCCGAAATAAAAGGGCGTTTACAAAATCAAACTATTTTCTTGCTTTGTAAAACATTCATTTCTTATAATTAATAATATCAAAAAAACTTAATAAATTTTGTAAACGAAATATATTATTTAGTTTAATGACTGATTAAGATGAGAAGGGAAAAAAATAAATTTTTTCATGGTGGCCATCTTATGTCCAGTTGGAAATTTGATATTGTTCTTTCGAAGACATTGCCCTCCTCCAATTCTTATAAAAAAAAATTTTATGGACTTATCAAACAATTATGAAGTGGGCATGGATTCAGGAAAAAAAATATCAGTATATTTATTTTACATAATTAAAATAATTTTATATCTATTAAAATATATATTTTTTAATTATGGTCTTAATTGTAGAAATAAATAAAATTAAATGCATAATTCGATCTTTTGCATTAAAAATATTGATTTCTTAATTACATTTGGTTCAAAGGGGGGTGATGAAAAATCAGTATAAATATCGGTGAAAAATATGTGGATCGATACAGTCCTACTTCTCAACAAAGGGCATCCCATGCAGAGACCTTTATTAGCCGACCCACGGCTAAATATTTTCTAGCGGGCCTGGGCCGAGGTTTTTGAAAAAATGTTCCAATTTATTTTTTCTAATATTAATAAAATTTCAGTATCACAAACAAAATGATTGCCCAAATACGCCTAAATATAGTTTATTTTTATTGAATACAATAAATTAAATTTTCGGATTGGGCAAAATTTTTAAAATTATTATGGGTTTGGATTTTTTTTAAATATTAAATGTGGGCTGGGCCTGGGCAGGGCTTGGTCAAAAAATCAAGGCTCATGAAGATCTCTGATCCCATGTAGGGCTGGCATGATTAAATCAGATTTAAATCAGTTTTCTTTTTTACTTGTATTTTAAATAATTATCAGTTTTCGCTTTCAAATAAATTTTTTTTTACCTATATTTGGCATATAAACTGTTTTAAATATTACTAAATATTATTTTTATAAATGATTTTATGCATTGTAAATCCGGAAATTATATTTTGGCATACTAAATTCCTAAAATAATTTTGAAATATTGTTAAAATTTAGGATATAAAAAATATCTTATAATCATTTTTCCCCTGTTTAATTAATATTGATTCAATATTTTGTTGAATTTAGGATAAATTAAGATGAAATTCATTTATTTACTTAATTATAAATAATACATTTAGTTTACAAAATTTATTAGGTTTCTTAATATATAGCGATTAATGTGAAAATCAAGAAGGTAAAAATGATTAATTTTTCATTTTAGATGATTTTGTTTTGGGCTTATGGCTAGAACATATCTAATGCATTTTATTAAGAGGAGTGAGTTGTGAGGTGTGTGATTTGACATGGAATGCTTCTTTCACTTTTGGACGAAATTTAGTTTTTGGGTTACGCTAAATCGGCTCGATTTAGGAAGGTCAAAACCCTGTTCAAAATTTATGGGGTCTTTTGATGTTGATCCGGTCTTTGACCTCTTAATCTTAAGGCAATGGCCGAATCGGATCCATTAAGCGAACTTTAAGGCGATCAAAAAGACTTCCACCTGTTTACTAATAATGTATATAAATTTTATTTCGTAATGTATCATTTCATGCTCAAACTAATATAATTTTTTTTAAAATATTTTATGAGGTAAAATATTAGTTAATATAGCGTTAATCAGATGGAAAATATATCAACTCAATGAATGTTTATTTGAAGGAAATTTTTCAATTGGATGTTAATTTTTTTTATGATAAAATGAAAAATTTTAATATTTTTTAAATTAATTTTATTTTTGTTATTAAAAAGACAAGATGTTCAAGAAGTCTTATAAAATGTTATGATGCAATAAATATAGGTTAAGAATATATTTGAAATGTTTTTATTTTCAATTTTATGTCATTTTAAGAAAAATATTTTGACCACTTTAAAGCAGAGTTTATTTAAATCGTTAATTTTTTAAAAAAATATCAAAAAATTGGTTTTTTAAATTTAAATCAAACTTTAATTTTTCCGATATGATCAAATGTATAATTAATTACTAATGATTTTTGATAATTAGCATCTAGCATATATTTCTGAAATATTTATGATTTAATACTTGATTTGTAACTTTTATAAATTTATAAAATTTTCTAGTTAAATTTTTATGGTGATTGGAAAAATCAGTTATTTTTAATTGTTGTTAAATCGCTCGATTAGAACCGATTTTTAAAAATGGCTAACTCAAAATTTCAGAAATATATTAAGCAAGCCTGAAGATTTTGCTCATATATAGCACAAATGTTTGATCTATTATTAGCAAAATTTCGAGGCTTAGGCAATATTTTTCTGGCAAAAATATTGATTTCGCCTTTTTTAAATGGGCTCAATTAGAGCCGATTAACAATACTATAACTTTTTTTATGTGATAAAATTCCCAGCTACCTTGGTTAATTTTATAATGAAGTTATTTTAGGCCTAAATGTATCTTATTCATTATTCATTTTAGGAATTATTTTAATGAGTTTATTATCAATTATTTTTAAAAATACATAAAGTAAGCACCATATAAAGGTAAAATCTATAAGATATATTTATTCAATAATAATTAATGTTATATTTATAATTAAAAAATATTATCAACAAAAAAAAGGAAGTCATGGAATGAAATAAACCGAATTTTAAAAAATATGGTATCCGCCATTGGTATCAGAAATATGCATGATTATGTCCAAAACCCGGTCTATTCAGATCAAACCAGCCTGGAATTTTGTGTCTTATTATATGTTTTTTTCCCCTTCATAAAATAATAGATTGCGCCAAAAAAGCACTTTTAAAAATCCTAAAAGGTCATAGGTCAATTCAAGCTGATCTCCAATAACCATTTTAAATAAAGGGTATCTTTACAAAAATAATCGATTAGTAGGTATGGAGTATGAGTGTCCACACATGGAAGTGGAGGTTAACACAGCCTGGCACACAAATAAGGAGAAAATATTTTTGGACCATACAGATTGTTCAAAATATTATTAGGTGCTAGGCCAAAGTTGTGAAAATTTTTTTAATGCTGAGACAAATTTATGTCATATTCATTTATAAAAATTTTTATGGCTCACACTGGACAACTTGCACAAAGTATATTTTATGGGGCATAGGCCAAAGAAGCCAATAGAAAATTCCCAGGTCATCTCAGACCATCATAACTTCTACTTGGATATCTATATAGTAGTAAGATGTTGTAATTTTTTCTTGGAAATTTCAAAATTAATTATTTTATGGGCTAAAAAAAGATTTAATTTAAATGATATTTAGTTCATGTAAAATTAAAATAATGCACACAAGGCAAATGAGGCAAAATTAAAGAATATGGTCAAGTTTACAATATTTTATAATAGGGTATATTTTATGAGTAAAAGAATTATATATGCAAACAGGACTATAAGACCAATAGTAAAAGCAAAACAATTAATTACAGAAAAAGTGAAACAAAATTGAAATAGTTATAATTGGTTTATTCATCAGATGCAATATATTTTTTCAAAGTTTACTCAAATGTTTATTACTATCATATATTTATATATTTGTAGTTTTTTAGTCTAAATTTTTTATCATTAAATTCAATTTTTTTTTAAATTCAAATAAATAAAAAAAATAGGTATTTTTTAAAATTAAAACAAAATTTGGACAAAAATAATTAAAGCAAAAAATGTAAGATTTGCTTTTATCAGGGACTTGCAGGTCAATAGCCAGGATGCTTCAGTTAAAGAGAAGTGGGTAAAAGTTAATTTGGTGGCCAATATTTTGGGTTTTTTTTATAAGTCATCAGAAACAAATTTGGAAACCAACCCTCCCCATGGCTACAATACTAGACTTGGAGCATTCTTCATAATTCTATAAAATGTGTCAAATTTTAGAGAAAAAGTTATAGAACTGGATATTATTTTTAATTGGAATAAGTTGTACAGTAGTAATACTAATATTGTTTTAAAAATTATTCAAATACATTTTGGCCGTAAAATATTCTGGCCCTAATAAAATTTAAAGAATGGGAACTTAACATTTTCAAGCTTAACAGTACTAGAATGGGTATTAATAACTATAAAATATTAAAGAAATTTGAACAAGTAATAATAATATTTGTTCTTAAATAATCCAGATATTTATACTGAATGAAAAGTTATTATTTTTAAGAATAATCTATTCATACAGATAAAAGTTATCTTAAATATATAATATAATTATTGCTTAATTATGAACCATATTTTCTTAATTTCGATGTTTATATATGTCTATATATAAAAAAATTAATAGATACATATTTTGTACTTAGATCGAGGGCTGATATATTCACAAATGCAATTATAACCAATAAAGAAGTTGTTAGAATTTGATTCATAATTAGAGTATTGAAACCGAAATACAAATTTCAAATTTTAAATTTTAAAACATTAACAAGATCATATGAATTGAAATTCGAAGTAACACGGATAGTTTTTTTTTTAAATTTAGTTAAATTTTTTTAATTAAACTAGATAATTATATAAACTAATTTTATTTTATCATATATACATATGTTATTAGAGTTTTAATAGGTATAAAAAATAATATTTATATTAATAAATTACTTTGTCAAAAACCTAACTTACTAGATATATAGCATGGTAAGTTATATAACTTCAGATGTGTAACTAGTTATAGCAGACTCGTAATCAAGGGGGATGGGAGGGGGAATATCCCTCTTCATCGCAAATTTGCATGTTCTTGTAAATATTGTTTTTAAATAAAAATTATCCCTTAGCATAACCCCCCCCCCATCACCTTCTCAACAAATATATTCAATATATCTCTATAAAAATGAATTTGAAAAAATAATTTGTAAAGTTGTAGGAATTAGTTCAGAATTAAGAATATCAGAAGTAACTTTATTAAATCAAACAACGGTAATCTAATAACATAATTTGAAAGTAAAAATAACTGATTAGCATAAATAATATTAATCTTAAAGAAAAGATATTCAATTAGTGATATATTAAAATAATATGTATTCTATTAATATGAAAGTAAATTGTATATAAAAAAGCGACATCTCTTGTTAAATGAAATAAATCCACTATTAATATTGTATAATAAACAATTAAAAAATTTCATATTTTAAAATTAAAATCGTAAACAATATTACTACATGCATCAGTTAAAATATAAAAAAAATATTTAAAAAAAAATGAGTGTTAGATGATGGAAATTGAACTGGTGATGAGATTTATAATTGTAAGCAGGAAATAGAATATTGAGTATACAGATTACATAAGATATAACGATAATTAATATACCAACAATTCCCAAAAAGGGTGGAAGGGGGGGGGGGGTTAATCTTTTTATAATTTTAATTTAAAAAATCCAAAATTACACCATCTGGAACCAATGATGTTAAAAATTGTAATTTGTAATAATATTTCTCAATAAATGGTTAACTTTAAATATAACATTATAAATACCTGATTCAACTAAATAAATGTAATTAATTATATAATAATCTATAATGTATTAAAATTATATATTACATTTTAAACTTGCAATTAAAAATGCCTTATATACTAATCTAAAATGTTTCTTAAAAATACTAAAATCAAGGTAACAAGCTATATTGCTACAATAATTTAACAATATTATTTCTCAATTTGATTTATGAATAGTGCTTATGACTGTTAGAAATGAATATATCAAAATAATATTATCTTTGCTAATAGATGCCCAAACTTTTCGGCCTTTCTAAATAAAATCTTTAGGCTTTCTGTTGCGAATGTGAGTATTAATAAATTGACTCAACCCATTTACTTTTTGTTAAAGGCTATTACTTTATTTTTCTTATTTTAATTTTTCTTATTTCAATTTTATTATTCAAATGCTTTAAATAACTTCACTTTAAAAAAAATACTATATATAATTATTATAACATGATATCTGTTTGAGGGGGGGAGGGAGGGGGGGCTGTTTTAATAGGGGTAGGATAAATTTTTTGGGGGGTTATCTATTAAATTTTGAGATGAAATAGGACAAAATTTATTGCTGTAAAAATTAATACTTTTATTATAGAATTATTATAATACAATTCATCGACCAAATCTATATATTGCAAACAATCATACATATTGTTTTCCAAAAACTTTCTGCTATCATTTTAAATGTAATTTAAAAGGTTTAAATATTTCAGCAAGCTCATAATGCCATAATAATTAATTCATTAGTTTAATTGAATTTATTATATAAAAAATAAATTATTTATATTCACAAAATATCGATAGTTGGAAATAGAAATAGATTAATTTTAGTTATCCTTTATAAATTCTCTGAAAAGAGTATCAATATAATTAAAAAGGTGAAAATAATAATGGGGAGACACCGCCGCCGAAGTTGTCGAAAATCTTTTAGGGGGTAGGCAAAGGTTTTTGAAGGGGGTAAAACCTGTGATGTAGACGCTGTAGTCAAATGAGAAATGAATAAAAAGAAATTATTCATATTAGATAAATTTCAAGATTATTTAAGTTAGTTGTTTAAACATTATGTAAATTCTTGTTTTTTATGAAATAAGAAAAAATATTGAGTTTATATAAATTTTTGAATATAATTAGACGAAATGTTAATTTTATATAAAAGATACAATTTTTATAATTTGAAACACTTCCATTTTTTTAAATTTTTTTTTACTTTCACTTAATTGTTCGCATATAATTTTTAGTATTTTATACCTTTACTTGTTGAATTTTTGCGTTACAAAAAAATGCATTATTCAAATTGTAAACAAAAATAATGTTTTATTAAAATTATTAAGTTATTATTTAGATCCCATCTATATAAATGAAAAAAAAGGCATGATAATTGTAGTTTTTTTCATACTTTAAGAATTTTAACAAATGGGATGATAAACTTTTTATTTTTTCGCTGGGAAGACTTTTCAATTTTTACTTTTACATATAATTTTTACTTTTACTTTTATTTTTAATATTAGTTTTATTTTTCTTTTATTTTGTTTTTGTTTTTCATTTTGTAATTGAATATAGTTATTATTTAATAAAGATTAAGAATCATATTTAGTATATATTTTTTTTTTATTTTATATTTAGGTTCTTAAGTTCCCAAATAAAACTTCCAATTGTGACAATGGTGTTGGAGAGAGGAGGCGACAGGCAACTACAACTTTTCAGTCTAATGCAAATCAATATATACGGTGGGACAAGGAGACGTGTCAAACTGTATTCTAATAAAAAAATTAAAAAAATTCCAGAAGAACATAAGAAAAATATGTAAATAAAAGTAGGAAAAATATTTAGAGAAGTATTCTAAAAAGAATAAATTTATCTATTAAAATAAAAATTGGCTAAAAAAGAGATTTAGATTTATTTTAAAGATGTAGGTTGAAAAAGAAAAATTATTTTGATAAGATTATGTTACTGTAGGAATATAAAATCTAAAATTAAAAACAAAGAATTATAAAGGTAGCATTCTAAGTAGATAAGATATTATGAAGTTTGTGTTTAGTTATTTAAAGGTGATAATTAGGAATTTTATATTTAGAAGTTACTGGTAAACTAAAACCATTTGAATTTTGAATGATATTTTTTAGAATTATTATAAATTGATCACTAGAAATAATTATGACAAAGAAGAAAAAGAAACATAAATTGCGAAGATTAAAATACTAATAGTTTGCTAAGATATAATAATTTAAAAATTCGGCGAATAAGATTAGAATATAAATTTATTGTTAGAAAATAGTTGATATTGTAATTAAATTCTTATTGAAGATTTACGTTTATTTATTTTAAGGGGCGAGAAATAAAACAGCCTCAAGAATTTAATATGTGAATGTAGTATAATATTAGGTTGTAGATTAACCAAAAATCTTCATAAAGAGAAACGGCTTTCGTCATTAGAAAATTTATGCCGCAATCGAGCTCAATTAGAGATCGAATTTTTATTTTTGAATCAAATAAGATTTTAAGGCAATTAGGCAACGTTATGATAATAGTAAAAAGATAGAGAAACACTAAAAAAGAAATGATAAGATTTATTTTAAATTGTTTTAATCGGTTTTAGATAGAAGAATATATCGTGCATAATTTTTTTATTGGTTTAAAATTAAAATGGCCTCCAAAATATATGATGAGAGAATATAATAAAATATTTTGAGAATGTGATTTATTTATACCAAGCCAACTTTAAAACTTAAACCCTTGCCTAAAATTATATGATCGAGGAAGATGGATTATCCCAACTCTTGTTAATTTACCACCTTGTTAATAAATCAAATCACAATATATTAAAAACATATTTTATTATGATAAAAATATATTATTATATTAACGCTAATATATATTTTTCCAACCTGATGATTATTATTCATTTTTTATTCATTTTATAAAGGAAAAATAGAAAGGAAAGATAACACATTATTTGTTGGAGGCACGGGTCGGGTTTTTATTTTGGCGTTTTAGTGATTAACATGATTGGTTTGGGCAGTGGACCGACCCTGTATGACTCTAATATATCGTGTGCAATAAAATATTAAAAAAATTATTCACTTTTTTATAAATATTATTTGTGTGGTTATAATAAAGATTTTTTAATCAATATGTTAAGATTTAATAATTTGAAAGAGGTTTCCAATTATATTTATACAATAGAACGAAATAAGATGCACAATTTTTCCTTTTTAAAAAATTTTTTCAGCATCATCGCAATTATATTCAAAAAAATTATTAATTTTTTTTATATGGAATTGTAACTTATATATTATATAATGGGTAAGGGTAATTTTAAAATAAAGATCATCTTGCAAATTATTATATTAAATATTATATTACTTAGAATAATCTTACATTCACACTTTCATAAGAATAGTTAAACCATAACTATCTCGTGCGATATTTTGTAATTTATAACGATAATTTTGGTCTGAACCTTTATTATTCGTTTTTTATTTCCACCTCAAATTTTTTCAATTATAGCAAGAATTCAATAACATCTCTAGTCTTTTCATCTTGGCGGGCTAATTTTTAAATATTATATATAATTAGCAAAAAAATAGGTAGATTATCTATAATTAACCAAAGAAACATTCTAATCTAAAATTAACCAAAAAATTGTATTTTTATCTAAATATTTTGGGGAGGAAATAATAATCGTACCTAAGTCATTAATTTATAATTATAACTAATAATATGCCTATCGAAATTAAGAGCTTTTTCTTCTTATATTCTCTCTCTGGAACATTCAAAACATAGTAAATTATTATTGCATATTGTTTAGGATATAAAAAAAATTAAAGTTAATTGATTTAATCGAAGTAAATATATAAGTGTTTGGATGACAATAATAAAATATATTTTCCTCGAAAAAATTGATTTTTTAAAAAATTGTATTGTCAAATATTTATCGGGTTCATTAAAAATTTTTAGAAAAAATCAAGAGATCTT